AATATTTCACTTCTTAAACTATTTTATTGGTGAATTTTAATAATATTTAAAAATAAAAGAAATTAAAGTAAAATATTTTTATACATAAATGAAAACTTGTTAATGTTTCCAAGATTTTAATAGCGTAAAATTATTACTTGAATTTAAAAACAACTACAGCGCCTTTTTCAGTTTAAATGACCTTGACCTATATTGTTAAGTTGGCTCAAATACCTACCGATTTATGCATGTTGCACAAAAATCGAGTTCTGATGTTCCCTTTCCTGAGTTTCCTGAGTTGAGCTTGTTTTGTTGATTACGCAATACGCACATCAGGCAGTTGACCGCTTTTTAAATGGCACATTTTATTTTTATTTTATCATGATTAACTTCCGGCAAAAATAATAGCGGTCCGACCAGGCCTCCAACCGCATTCCGGCTGCTCATTTATATATGCAATGTGTGAAGCGCCCCTGCGCCGACGGTAACAACCACCACGACCAACTTGCACCCATAAGCCCCCGGCCGCTCACAATGGGGGCCCTTTTGCTCTCTCATTCCCTGCGTGTAGCGCGATTTGTAGTAGTTGATGATTATGTGCTCGGGCCATTTGCGCGTTTTTGCCCCGGCTGATGTCTAAATTTAAATGCACCACTCCCTCTGTGGAGCACAAAATTTGTTGCAGATTCAAGATCCGAACTTGTTGTACGTTCTCACCCTCCACCCCATTGCCTCCAGGCGCGCATATGTGGCCCCTATTCGCAGATATACAAACTTTGGTGTGTATGTTATATAATCTCGCAGAGCGCGGGAGTTGCTGTGAATAGCAATAGTTGGACAACTTTGGCTGTTCTGGTGCGGTGTCAATTTTGCCGCCTAATAGCGTCACATCACCATACACATGGCAGGAAAAAACGGCAATAAATCAGGCGTCCGCAGGCACAAAATCAATTTCGATAGAGAGGAGAGCTGAGCTGGTGGCTTTAAATAGGGAAACTTTGGAAATTGATGCACTTGTTGTCATACTTCAAAATTGATAGATGTTGCTGCGCAGGAAAATTTAAAAGTTCGGCCCAACTTTTGGGGTTTCGCGCGGGCCGCCGGCAAAATGTGAAAGGCCTTTGCCACCGCCCCATCTTATAACTCGATATAACTCATGTTCCTTTCCCTAGAGGCTTTTATCAGCTTAGCCTTAACGTGGTGTGCCATATTTTGCATATTTCCAGGTGGAAGAAGCACATTTCAGGTGCCCTTTATTTTGTTTAAAAATGGTTTTTATCAAAAAGACAAATATTAATATGCGTTTTCATCGAACCTGATCAAAATTATTATATAATTGCAGCTTCAAGAAGAAGATCAAGATTATAATGTTTGAAAATAAATTAATTTATAAATAAAATTTTAAATGAATAAATTCGTTGATTTTGAATTCCATTATTTTAATTTTTGCATACCAACAATTTTATAAGCCGGTGAAAAGTGCAACTCTTGAGAGAAATCTCTTTGTGCAAAGTGTATTGTGCATAGTGGACACGAGAAAGGCCCATTCTCTAGGGTTTCACAACAAAAACGCTTGACCTTTTCATTCTCACACCTGCGCTATTATACGTGCGAGCGACGGAGTGTGTTTGTGCAAAAAACGTTCTTGCATGCGACCTTTCATAAAATACTCGCGCGCAAAACTATGTACCGCACAATGTGGAACTGGCAAACCGCAAAAGCCATAAAACTCGGGCGAAACGCCCCGTTCGGCGGCGCAAAATGATGATGGATGGCCAGTTTTGCTGCGAGAACAAATAAAAAAATAAATCAGCCCACGTATTTTTTTTAGCGGCGACGTCAAGAGACGAGGTGCACATTAACCGGAATTGCTCCAGACTGTTTTGCAGTAAGCTGAGAGCTGAAATGATTAAACGCAGCTGGTCAATTGTTTGTTGTAAAGTGCGCTGCAAGAAACCTTTGCAAATGCTCAGTGCTGTTATCCATTAAAACAAGACTAAAGCTACAAACAATAAGGCAGGCAAATTGTTTGAAGAAATATATATATGTAATTTTTTTTTACATTTTTATAAATTAATTATTACATATTTGCACGCAAAAAAAAGTTTTAAATATTTTATTGAAAATATAAAATTTTAATATCAAATTTAAATAAATAAAACATTAATATTAAACATTTTACTCAAAATGTTCAATTTTTTAACTATTAAAATAAATGATAATACATATAAGCCTGAAATTAGTAAAAAAAAATCGAGCGAACTTTGTTGTAAAGAAAAAAATTAAAGGACAACTGACCTCACAGGCGACCTGCGGTCTTTGTGTTCGTTGCCCTGGAAATTTCTAGCAAAGTCACAGTATGAAGCTATTGACTCACTCAGTTGCTCAACTATTTTCTGAAATTTTTTAATTATAAATTAAGTTCTCCACTTTTATTTTTATTATTAATAATAATAATAATTATTTTTTTTTTAAATTCCTCTCACTTTTACAAGTTTTAGTTTGGAGTTTGGACACGACAAACCCCTAGGTTTTTAAAGTTGCCTTTTGGGGTCAGGTTTTCATTTTTTACTTTGCAACAACAATAACGAGGTTTGCTCGATTTCAATTTTTCATATTTAACCATTGTTTGCCTATTAGTATTAACCATATGATTTTGAAATTTAAAGTTATATCAATGCCAAGTTTATACTGACGGGATTGACTTCAGCTTCGTCGATAGATGTGTGATGTGTGTTTTCTAATATAATATTGATTTTTTTTATTAACAAAAAAGTTTCAGTGAACTCTCTATAAATTCTATTTTATATCCCTCAAGAGAACAAAGCATTTCTCCGAAAAGAGCGACAACTTTTCCAACCCGTGCGCTTATTGCCCGAATCCATTAGGACAAAAGCTGGAGTTCATTTGCGAATGGGCGCGCTGAACGTGTTTTGCGTCCAGGCTCGCTTATATGGCAGGTCCAAATGACCCTGACGGGACGGTATTTACGGCTCTCTTGTGGGTCGGCACCTTTATGTGCGGGCTATTTGATTTAATGCATGCGACTCTCTCTCATTGTCTAGTGTATGTGTTTATCGCGTTTTTACGCTTCAATTAATTGAAACAATGCGCGGGGCGCGGCAGCCACCCCCATCGATTTGAGCCGAAATAAAAGAGCTGCATCACAACTTGTTGGACTCTCTCTTTTATATATTCAAATTACGATTATCACCTCAGCAGACGGTGGTGGTGAGACGTCTGGTCGGATGAGGGGAAAGGGTTAAGAGAGAGAGAAAAAAGCCGTCGCTCCTTTTAGATGCAAAACGAGCCGGGCGCGCAATTCGCGTGCGGAGGTTTATTTTTTTGACAGGAGCAGCAGACTCAGTCGAACTGCAAAGACGCGAGATTTGCTCGACGGCTGGCCCGCCGGCTGAGCAAAAATCAATTTCACGTATGTACGTCGACGTAGCACACGCACTGCTCTCGCTCTCTCTCTCACTCGCCCGCCAAGTCGTTTTTAATGAAGCCCCTGAAGGGATTTTCGAGACCAAAGGCCCGCCCAGCATTTGTCTCCGTTGGCAGCGAAGCGACTTTGGAGAAATTCGCACAACAGACACCAGTGTTTTCTTACCATTGAATTTGGAGGGAGAGACGGTTTTTTTTCGATTCACTATTTTATGTTATTTCAACATTGTGCAATTAATTTGCTGCAAAATTGAAGGATCGTTTTGGGCACAAATGAGACAATATAGTTTATTATCTTTTAATATTCAGCTAGTCTGACAGTTAAAACATTGATATTAATTCAATTTTGCTCAAAATAGTTTAGAAATATTTTTTTCTAAAAATTCAGTAACGAAAGTAGATAAAAAGGACCACATTTTTTTAGTGTTTTCAGACAGTAGCGTTCAGTAAAATTACGAACGTAAAAAAAACTTAAAATTTTTCATTTTTCGTCATATCGTAAATTTCAAACGTCGATATTAGCCCCCATTTTGGAGAGTTCTGTTTTTAACCTGAAAAGGCACAAAAGAAAAAGTTGGATAAAAGTTATAATTTGGCCTACTCCAAGTTATATAACGTATGTTTCTTATTTTAAGTGTGTTGAAAGCTTTTAAATTGCTTTTCTAGTGAGGCTAAAAAGGCGCAGTAATTTGCCATTCTTAATTATGAGTTATAATACTCTGTGAAAATTAGCTTTTGAAACTTGCCAACAAATTTTAGCAGCCAAGCAGCAGAGTTGAATATAAAAAATCTCCAGGTATAGATTTAGCAGCTTTTAATTGAGATAAAGATAAGTCTTTGAACAGTCACATTTTTAATAAGTCAGCTCTTGGCTGCTATTCACTGAAATAAAATGAAATTCTCAACACAATGCCAATCTTATTTTACTTAAATTTGTTAAAAATATTATTAAAAATTATACCCTAGTTTAAAAGATGTTTAAAATAAATATATTCCATAAACTTCACACTAAAAAACTTCTTCGAACTTATTGTTATATAATTTTAGCTTTTTTTTTAAGATTCCATGTTTTTTGTTGCTCTGTGTAGCATGAATTTCAATTAATTTTGATTGTTTCTTTAATTAAACTGTTCAGTTTTCCAAATTATTTGCGGTTTACAGTTATAATTTATTTAAAAATTAACTTTACTTTTTAACTTTTAACTATTACTAATTGTAAGAAAAACGGAGGCTATGAAAATATTTTTAATGGGTAGGTCTGTGTGTCTGGGTTAGAGGAACAGCTCTTGAGAAAGTGGCGTCGAGCAACCCCTCGGCTTCTCCAATCTAGACAGAGTGGCGCCCGCCCGCCCGCTCGCCCGAGTGGAGCGATGCGTGCCGATTCGCAAGGGACGGCGCGGCGGAAATTGCGAGACTCGCACGCACACCGCATCAATACCTGTTTGAATCTGGGGGTTGTCCCGGCGAGGGTGCGAATAAAGAACCGTGTCCGCGGAGGCCCGTGTCGGCGGCGGCGCGCGAGTTAATGAATCAAAGTGCGGCGCGCGCGATGAGTGGGACAGAAAGAAACTCACCTTGGCTGAGATGCTTCTGGTGCTGGCGCGGACGCGGTCGGTGCTGCTGCTCGGACGTGTGTCTGCTGGCGAGTGCTCCGCTCGACTCACTCGATCCTCAAGTCTGACGGGGGTGGAGCGAGACCAGCGATCAATGTCCTTGTTCCCAGCACAGCGGCCGCAGGAGCTGTGCTCTCCCTCTTTTGCACCCCGGGTGCGCAAGTCCTCGCATCCCTCTCGCTGCTCGCGCGCGGTGCCCACTCGCGTGCGTGTGCACGTCGTCGATCTGGACCAGATTCAGCGGCAGACCCTCCGCACGCATCCGCGCCCTAACTTGATTCGCGTGAGACTTCCGAAACTTTTTTTCCTTCTGAATAATGCAGCACCATCATCCTTCAGTCTCTCAGTCAAGAAGCGCGAAATGACCTCTGACCGCGACTTTTTCCGGCGCCAACACACCCCACCTGATGCTTTTTCGCTTAAAAACAGCAAAATGGGATTTTCTCGTGCTTCTTTGTTCCTTCTTGCGTAGTAAATTTTTTTAAAGCTATGTGTTACGGTTTTGTTGTAAATTTTCACTACTCAAAATATATAAAATATGGTCTTGACGTTTTTCTTTTTAAATTTGGATTCTACAAAATTAAAAAAAAAAAATTATATTTTTTCTTTTTTAATAAAATTTCTTCTCATTTTCCCCAAAATTTTCCATAATTTTATTGGATTAAAAAACAATTTTAAATAAATAAGTGCATAATAATGTGGTATAATAACAAATATTTAAAAATATATTTTTATTCTAATTTATGTTTCATTATTATTCTAATTTGTGTATTCTAACATTAAAAACAATTAAAAATAACAAAATATTATAGTCACATTGTTCATTACAAAGCGCGTTGACTTTAAATGATCTGGGGCATCTGGGCTTATTGTCTTTTCTCTGCAGAAGTAAACTTTTCTTTATTGTTTCTTGACTTCTGCTTTTTGTCACCATAAAAAAACTCAAAGAACATCCGAAGAAATAAAGATGTGGTAAATTGCAGTTGTCCTCCTTCTCATCCTTGTCGAGTGCAGAAAGTCAAAGCTATAAAACCCCGTTGCATGAGGAGGTTAAAAACAATGATCGAACGAGCTATGCAACAGTTGTTCAGTTATTTTCATTTTTCACTCCTTTGACAAACTTTAATAATAAAAAATGTTTTTTTTATTTTTGAAGGGTGCAACAATAACTTACTAAACAAAAAAACTAATTTATTGTTATTTTTTAAATCTTTCAATTTCAAATTGATTCCTTTTGCAGTATTTACAACATTCAACAAATTGTTATAATCTCAAATCTATATTTTTTAGATGTTTATTTTTTTTTGTAAATAAAAAATTGATAAAAATGAAGTTCTTGGGTCGTCTGAGCTTTTAACAAATCGGGAGGAACTGGCATATTATAATAATGAAATATTATAGCTAAAATTAATTTTTCACTCCATTGAAGACCTAAGTGGCTCTTCAGCAAATTGAATGTCCTTGGCGTAAACCACAGGATTTCTCTAGCACTCGTTCTCTCTATCCAAGACCTGGCTACTTGTTTTATTTGAAATTTTAATCACCTCTCTTTCATGTCCTCTTGATCTTTGAAGAGCAATTTTCCTTCAGTGAATACTTAATTTGTGGTCATATATTTTTTTAACGTGGTAAACAAGTCTTGGTAACATGAAAGGAAAACACACAAAAGGAGCTGCTTTAAGTTTAATGCATCTGCCTTGAATTGAAAAGAAGTAGGATGTGTTTAATTTAGAATTTTATTTTTGCAAGTCAACTTCTGATTACACATTTAACCGCAAAGTTCAAATTTAGGCATCTAATGAGAGTTGGTTTCATTGTTGAAAGTACAAAACAGAGTACAAATGTTTTGAAGTTTGCCATTTCTCTGAGATGGTCAAGATTTTTTCTTTTGTAAAGGAAAATGCAAAGTGAGCACTCAGCACATACATCTGGTGCTTGAAAACCACTAACCCAGGGGGCAATAAGTTACAAATCAAGAGCACTGCTACCTTAAACAAAAAGGGGCCATATTTACATAAAGAGGGCAGTTACAGGTCCAATCAAAATGACAGTGTGAGAGAAAAATAAACACCAATTCGAAGATTTATGCAGGGCATCATTTCACAAAATATTGTTATGTTCAAACTATGATGTGGCGTTCTTATGGATTTATCTCCAAGTTGCATCCAAAACTTTCAACAGAGGACTGCAATGATAACATTTGATAGGATCATTTTTTTGTTCAAAGAAATGAAATGAGCAAAATAGAAAATTTTTATTTCTGCTGATGACCACCAATATTTGGACTTCAAAAGAATTAAGAAATCTGCCTGTATATCCAACTTACCACAAGGATTACGTCTCACTGCGCCAAAGTTTAATGGTTTTGTCATTTTCCAAAGCAGCAGATGCAATGATATTTTCAGACGGGTGGCACGTTGTGCACAAGACAACATCAGTGTGTCCCTGTAGTTTTTGCACAATTTCCTTAGTCTGAAGATTCCAAATGTACACCATGTTGTCTTCTGAGCCAGAGACAATCCACTGGAATAAAACAAATTTTTAAGTGCATTTGATATGAAATCAATTTAAATTTGCATACCTTTCCACCAGTGACGGAGAAGTTGGCAAATATACAATACTTCTCATTTCTGTGCCCAGTGTAGGTTTTTAGACATTTGCCTTTGCTGTAGTCCCACAGCTTGAGTGTGTTGTCTAAAGTTGCAGCCAATATGTACTTTCCATTTGGAGAGAATTTAACAAACGAGACAGGAGGATTGTCATCGTCAATCAGTGTTTTCAAGCACTGTCCCGAAGCTGTGTCCCAGATTCGGCTAGAAAGTCATTTTGAGGTTACTTTACAGTTATCAAGCTAAAAAAAATATTTACCAAAGTCCATCATAGCTACTGGACACGATGAGAGAGCCATCTCTATTAAAGTGTACTGCACTGACAGGGTCTGAATGTGCTGGGAGCGTCTTCAGGCATTTCCCTGTCCTAACATCCCAAATTCTCACACTCTCGTCAAACTAAAATTTTCAAAATTATTCAATGTTCTTGAATAAAAAATTGTTTAATTTTTACCGATCCTGACACGATAAGATTTGACTGGGGATTGAAGTTACAGCAGAACACATAATTGCTGTGCCCTTTTAATGTTTTCAAACATTTTCCCTGCAAGAAGAAAAAAGCAATTTTTAACAACCGTAATTTTGAACTTATATCCTTTTTACAGAGCTCAGCTCCCAAATTTTTAAGGTCTTGTCATCTGAAGCACTGACTAAAAGTCTGCTGTCTGTAGACCATGCCACATCTGATATCCCGAGCTTATGCCCTGAAATCGTTTTCTCAAACTTTCCATCATAGGAACCCCAGATTTTTATCAGTTTGTCCGCAGCTGAAATGAGATAAAATTGATTCTATAAATTTAATTTGAGAATCAAATTTACTTACACGAACTGGCCAGCCATTCTCCATTTGGGCTAAATTTTACAGAGGAAACTGCTTTTGTGTGTCCAGCTAATGTAAATTTTAGGGTGTAGTTTGGCTTCTGAAATAATATATTATTATTAAGGACAATTAAAAAATAATATTGAAAATATTAGACGTACCACGGACGCGCTGGAAGATTTGTTTCCACCAGACGAAGGCTGGGAAAGAGGTGTTGGGTTTGATGGCATCATTGGTGGGACAGGGGCAACAAGGGGGTTCATCATTCCAAACGACGCCAGCGGGCTGAAAATACAAGAACAGTTAAAATTTTGTTGCGAATCGTGACAGCCGGTTTTTGACAACACCAAATCAACGCTCATTACGGCTTGTTAAACGTGATTTTGGCAGGAATTTTTATTTATTTCTAATTATTGACAAGTTTAATGTAAATTTTGGCCTCGGCCGAAAGATAGAATGGCATAAATTGTCTATTAAATCAAATTTACCTAGATTTATGGAACTTGACCGCGGCACCAGGCGGCCAAATCGAAGGAAAATTCGGTTGATTTTTCGCGCAGTTTATCTGGAATGATTTGTTTCCCGCTTCAAGAAGGGTTAAAGTCTTCTGACCCGATATCTTGCGCCACTAAGGGCGGTGCAGAATCGCCGAAAATCCAAAAAGTTCAGATGATAAACAGGCCGACAATAACAAAAGCAGCCATGTGAAGGCAAAAGCAGCTTGGCATTTTACCCACTTTGCCTAGCGACAAGCGGCGTTGCCGCGTTTCTTCCTGCTCATGGATGACAGCGCCATCCTTGCCTCCTTGTTCCTTGGCGGGAACAAACTTCCTAAGGCATATATGGCGGCGGCTGTCGAATGGGCGATCAATGAATGAAGAAGTAAGAAGGGGTTGAGTCGGGTTGACATTGTTGACAATATTTTATTTTATTTAGATGATTGACGGAAAAGTCAAAAGTGAATTATTTTCTTCATTTTTTTTTTATCGTTTAATTGTTTAATTAAAAAAATTTACTTTTAGTTAAAGACGAGAAATTCAAATTGAATAAAAAATATAAAAAAATCATCACATTTTGTATTGTATTTTCATACAAAACTTTAAAAAAATTAAATGAAATAAAAATATTTTTCAAAATCATGTAGCAGATTAGCAGAGCTATTTTTTTTTTAATTTCAAACAAAATAGAAAATTTTCAAAATAATTTTAGTTTGGCGGTCGGCGACATGAATGAACGGCAACAATGTTCAAGATCACGTGACCAGCCTTGATGTTGGCTGCGTCTCGGGGACGCTCCCACTTAAATTTCCTCAAAAATCCGAAAAAAATCATTTAAAAGTCAAAAAACTGAATTCCAACGAACTCAAAAGAGTTAGAGAATCTTTCCGAAACGCTTTTCAGAGGCTAAGAGCGAGCAAAATGCCCCGAAAATGATCAAAATTAAGTAGGCGACAGGTCACGTGACCTGCGAGGACCAATCAGAGAGCGGGAAGTTGTAAAAGATTTTTCGCCATTTGATGCGAACCGTTGAACGGGTAGCCATTGCCGTGAAAGCGAACTAGAGCAAGTTCATTTTCGATCGTGAAATATTATGAAATATTCGCATCATCCGCCGTCATCTTCAAGACAGGTTGATTTCTAAACGATTTATCTTCAAGTTTTTTGATTTAGTCAAGTGAGATGTGTGCTAGTTGCTGATCCTCGAAGTGTTTAGTGCGCGATTCCGTATAAGAAGCGGCCATAATAAAAGACAGCCCAATTTTGCTTGGAAGAATTTTATTGAAAATCGCCACTTTTACTGCACTGAGCTGGTCTTGAGTGAGGTAGGGATGTTGCACCCTTGGACGATTTCAATTTTTTATTTGATTTGCCAATTTGTTTGCCCACACAGAGTTGCAAGGGCAATTTTACTGCGGCCGATATCCTGGCCCTTAGCTTTTCACTTTGTTCCGCCATATTGCCGTTAAACCGAAGGAAAATCTAGAAAAATCACCGCCCTCGATTTATTTCCGCGTATCTCGTCAAAATTCGCATTTTTCGGCGTATTTTTACGCCCAGACGCGTACTCCGAGCGTTTTGGCGCCTTTCTGGTGCCTCTGTTGCGGATACCATTTTCGCCGGAGCAAGTGACAGGACGCCACCGAAAGCACTGCGATGTGCAGTCCCTTAGGCCCAACGGTTCTATTCTATGCCAAGACCAGCTACTTAAAAAAATATTAACAAGAAGTCGTCTAATTTGGGCTAAAACAGCAGATTTTTATGCGAATCAGCCAAAAAGGGGGGTGTGGAAAAAAGGCGGTTAATAAGCTTCTCAAGCTTTTCGGCCCAAGGATCAGCAACGACCATTCTCTCACTGACTTTTTATTACTTTCTCTTAACATGCCTTCTTTGGTTAACAGGGTTGATAGATAATGGATGTAATTGCTGGTTATGTGTTGAGTCGGCTCCAAGCTGCGGATTTGGTTCTGTGCTAAATTTTTAGTGTCATGTAAGTCATTTTGATTGACCGTTGAGGAAAAGTGATCGAGCAAAAGCCCCTTTCTTCGCTGTTGCAGGTTTTTAGACATGGTGCAGACAATGAATCCTCACATCGACCAGAGCAACACTGTGAGTAGAAGAGCGCTGAGCACGTAGGTCCACTATAAAATATTCTGTATTCACTTGATTTGCAGCCTTGTAGCTAAAACCTTCAGTTTCTCCTCCTAACTTGCCCCTTAACAATACGTGCGCATGTCGCTTTTTCAAAAGAAAAATTAATTTAAAATTTTACTTTTAAAAGACGCCAATTTCACTATTTTTATTGTGCTCTTCTCGTTTAGGGCTCAGTAAGCTCATCTGTTGTGAGCAGCGCCAGCAGTGATATGCCATCACCTGCTAATAAGATGACCGGCAATAACACATCCAACTCAACCAACGCTCCGTCTCAGCCAACCTCTAACGCAGCAGGTTCTGAGAGGCTTTCTTCTCCACCGGCACAAGCGTCAGCAGTAGCCAGCATGGCAACGTCCGCAGCTGGAGGGCTGTCCAACATGGCCAACTCCGGCTCGGGAGGTAACCAACTGGGTGGTGCTTCATCGGCCTCGGCTGACCCTTCATTGGAGCCCATCAATGGTATTGTCAACCCTCCTTACATGCCACCTCCGGACAGACCTGGCAGAATCACCAACCAGCTTCAGTATTTACTGAAAAACGTCATGAAGGCTATGTGGCAACATCGATATGCATGGCCATTTCAGCAACCTGTAGACGCCAAGAAGCTCAATTTACCAGTAAGTGTTATAAATCTTCAAAAATAGTGATTTCATAACCTCAACCATATTAAATATCTTGCAAATTTTAAAAACTCAAGTCCATGAAAGCTTCAAATGTGTTTATTTTATAGTAATGAAGTAATATGATGACTAATTAGCACATGCGCGTCATTTGACGGCAAATTTTTTGTCTCTTTGCTGTGTTTTACAGCATTGAGGTTAAGCTTTTGCAATACATGATACTAAAGTGCTACTGAATTACAATTTCAAAAAATATTAAATTTGTAATGAAAAAGATAATTACTTTTGGTATATCCTTCAATTATGATTTTTTGTTTTTAGGACTACTACAAAATCATCAAAGTACCTATGGATATGGGTACTGTTAAGAAGAGACTTGAAAATAACTATTACTATAGTGCCAAGGACTGCATCAATGACATGAACACAATGTTTACCAATTGTTATGTGTACAACAAGCCTACGGAGGATGTGGTCCTCATGGCCAAGACTCTTGAGAAAGTGTTCCTCGGCAAGGTCAGTCAAATGCCAAAGGATGAAGTGGAGCTCGAGGTGCCATCTTCGAAGAACATCAAAAAGCCAAAGCCACCAAAACCCCCAGGCGCGCCAGGTATTGGCCGAGGTAGGCCAAGCAGTGTGTCTTCAACTTCGGTGGCCAACAATGGCCCTGTTGCTGGCATTCCTCCCAGTGCAGCTCCCCATCTTCCTCCACAAGCCCCTGGCCCAATGGCCCCAGCAATGACCTCGTTGCCTCATGGTCACAATTCGATGCCTCCGCAAGTGCACTCTCATGTGCCTGGTCCTGCGGCAGGCATTCAAATGCCCCAACCCTCACTCTTGCCCCCTGGCCAGGCCAAGGCAAAGAAAAGTCTGAAGAGAAAGGCCGACACCACAACACCACCTGGCTATGATATGTACAAACCGAGTAGTGCTGCCCAGATGCCCATCGCACCAGGACCTGACGCCAAATCTGCAAAGATTGGGCCCAGACGAGAGAGTGGAAGGCAAATAAAAAAGGTCGTGAAAGATTTGCCTGAGTCGCAGTCTGTGGGTGATGGCAGCACCATGCCTATAGGTGTAGCTGCTATGCAAATGGGCCAGGTAACAATTATATTTAAAAATATTTATGAAATTACTATTTCTGTGATCAGCAGGTAGGCCATGTAGGCAAAGGGAGGGACAGACTAACAGAGTCTCTCAAGGCATGTAATGATATTCTCAAAGAGCTGTTTTCCAAGAAGCATTCTGTAAGTCCTGACTTTGGGTTTTGAATAAAAAAATCTTACTAAATTTTCTGCAGGCTCATGCTTGGCCATTCTATAAACCTGTTGATGCTGAACTTCTTGGTCTTCATGATTACCATGACATCATAAAAAAGCCCATGGATCTTGGCACTGTCAAAGTGAGTAGCTCTTTCAAATCTAGTTCTATTGATGCTTATTTTTTAATTTCCTCAGCAAAAAATGGATAATAGGGAATACAGGAGTGCAGCAGAGTTTGCTGCTGATGTTAGGCTCATATTTACCAATTGCTACAAGTACAATCCACCCGATCATGATGTTGTAACTATGGCTAGGAAGCTTCAGGACGTGTTTGATGCAAAGTGAGTTTTACCTTAATTGAAATAGATTTAAAAATTTGAGAAAGTTTTCTTAGATTATCCAAGATCCCCGATGACCCCACGGGGGACGTCGTCCTGCATGGAGATACTTCGGGTAGTGCGGGATTGTCCCCAGGGTCTTCGGAAAGTGAAGAGGAAGATAGTGAGGACTCTGAACAAGAACGCCAAGCTAAGCTATTGCTTCTCCAAGACCAAGTAAATGCATATTCATCTCTGAACATACATAGGGACACAGGGCAGATCCAAAATACCTAGTTGGTCTACTGGTTGCTGAAACGGCGAGCGCTAAAGTTGCTCTCGCCGATGCAACCACAGTAGTTGCCATTTGTATTCCCTGTACCACTGTTAAAGAGGTATAGCAACCATAGTAGACAAACCAGGTCAATTGGAATCTCTGATATCAAATATGATGACTAATTAGCACATGCGCGTCATTTGACCGCAAATTTTTGGTCTCTTTGCTGTGTTTTACAGCATTGAGGTTAAGCTTTTGCAAAACATGAGACTAAAGTGCTACTGAATTACAATTGTAAAACATTTACTTGTGTTATGCACGTGCATCATTATTTTCTACTAAAGTATGAATATTTGCAGCTCAAAAAGATGCAAGAAGAAATGAGAAAGCTTGTTGAAGAGGGCGGAAAGAAGACCAAGAAGAAAAAAGAAAAGAAAAAGCCCAGCCTTGGAGCACCAGGACCATCTAGCAAAGTCAAAGTTGAAGATAAAGCCAAAAGTGGTGCGCATCATTACGAACTTCCCCCTGACGTCAAGCACCCTGTTGGCGCCTTCAGCACTTCAACGCCCAAACCGAAAGCCAAAGGCAAGGCTGGCAGAGGTGCTGGGGGAGTTGCAGCAGCTGCTATTGGAGTTGTCCCTGGTAATTTTCTGTCTTAAAATATTAGAAAAGTGTGCATTCTCTGCATGTTGACAGGCGCACCTGGTGCTCCTCCTGTAAAACCAAGAGGGAAGCCAGGCCCCAAACCTGGTCCACGAAAAAAGAATCCTGCCGCAAACGTTGCAGTTCCTCCACCGCCATACGCAGATTCCGAGGATGAGGACAATGCTAAGCCAATGTCTTATGACGAGAAACGGCAACTCAGCTTAGACATTAACAAATTACCTGGTAAGATGATTGGCACTCACATAATTGATCTGTTTCACATTTTCTTTATTTTACAGGTGACAAACTTGGTAGAGTGGTACATATAATTCAGTCCAGGGAGCCCTCCCTAAGGGATTCCAATCCCGACGAAATCGAGATAGATTTTGAGACACTCAAGCCCTCAACACTTAGAGAACTCGAATCATATGTTGCCTCATGTTTAAGAAAAAAGCCTCGGAAACCTTACTGTAAGTAACACAGTACTTGTAAATTATATTGGCCTAGTTGTCATGCATGCAATTACTCTTATATATTGTACCTGATTCCCCCTGCCTGAATTTTTTGTTGCCTTTTCATGTGGCATTCCCCTTGTTTAAACGCTTCTGTAATTACTTTCTGCGTCTTTGGGTTTTTTTAAAAAAAAAATTCTGGGCCAATAAGCATCTATAAAGGCTTCATTTTTTCTTTAAAAATGAAGCCAGGAACAAATATGCTTTACATGGGAGGATTATGTTGGCAGCTATGACGGGGCGCAGAGCGAATGCAGCTGCAGCCAAAGGACGGGCGTCCACTGACGGTGAGTGCCTTCAACATGAAGAGCTAGTTACTCCTTCCTTGTAATAGTGACTCGAGCTTTGTGCTTAAAAAATCCAGCAGTCTGAATGACAGTTGGTCCCTGTGAATAAATTGTCATTTTTCAACATTACATAGCTACAAACTCTTAACATTTGTGGGCACCTTTGAGTGCAAGTGTTGCTTTTTACAAAGATTCTCATTGTATTGTCCATTGGCACATTTCTTTAAAAGATAATTATTTTTGTTTGCTTCCAAATTGGCTTTTGACTATGAGTTTAAAGGTAAACAAAAGTTAAGAATTTGATTATTTAGCATGCAATTGGCCCCTTGTGCTTCATCACGTTACAACCTCCCGTTTTATTTGTTTTCAGTATTATTTTCAATTATCCTTCTTTGTTGCTCGGAGTGATATCAATTTTTCATATTTTATTTTTCAGATAAAAAAGCAGGTGGAAAGTCAAAGGATGAACAGATGCAAGAAAAGAAACAGGAATTGGAGAAAAGACTGCAAGATGTGTCTGGCCAGCTTGGAAACGCCAAGAAAGCACCCAAGAAAGGTAGAGCCAACGCTTAAAACCCTGCAATTTGGTGCTTAATATAGATTTCCTTCAGATGGCAAGGGCATGGAAGCAGGTCTTGGTGGTCAGCCAGGACAAGCAACTAGCCGACTCTCTGCCAGTTCTTCAAGTAGTTCAGACTCCGACTCTTCCAGTTCCAGCCTTTCGTCGAGTTCGTCAGATTCATCTGAGAGCGACGCAGGTTAGAAATCAAATCGCCATGCATCTTCCTTATCCCCAAAATCCCCCTCACAAAGAAAGCTTGCACACAGCTGGAGTTAATAATCAAAAGGCTGATCTTTTAGTAACTACCGCTTTGAAGGTTAGGTTCTTTGAGTATCTTCGATTCATAAATACTGCCATATAATTTAATATGTTAAAGTCTATTTACTCCAGCGTGTCAAGTGCAGACACACTAAACACAAATACACAACAAGCGTTTGTACTTGGACTGCAAAGCAGCTATCTGAAGTGTACATATAGGGACCAGGCGGAATAACCACAAATTATTGTTAAAATCTCATGTGCAGAGTAAATGTTAAATAATGCGAACAGAAAGTGATAATTTTTCTCGGAGTGTGTAGCTCAAATGGACACTAACAAGTGCAATTTTGGCTTCGTCTGAACACACCGTAGTGGCAATTTTAAAAGTTTGTGCAATCATGTGTTCCGCAATTTTAATATCATTTATTGAAGCCATTTTAAATTATGAAAGTGCAGTTTTTCAGTACACCAATGTAAAAGTCTTACAATGTGAATTTTCATAATTTGCCCTCTCGATCACGGATTTCTAAGACAAAAACTGGTTTGAGTGCTCGTCAAACTCAGCTCATCTGTGCACCAAGTGGATTTGTGAAACACAACACACACACACTATCACACACACATTGCATATTACCCCAATTCACAACAGCCTCATGAAATCTCCATTCTGAAAACTCAAAATTACCAAAAAAAGGTGCCCAGCGGCTTCCTTAAAAAAATTACCACCTAGCAATAATAACAAATCATGGGAAGCTTTATGAAATTCAAGGAAATGTGTAACTCGATGCACGTTAATCGAAAGTGTGGTAATTTGCACAAAAGGCATTCATACATAAATTGTAATAAAACAAAAGTGCCTAAATATTATTGTAAACGCCTTTTACTAGAGTGCACAACGTGTGTTTTTCAACTATATCTGAATTTTATAAATTCATCCAACTGATGGAGGTAGCTGATGAAATATTCAAGGCCAGGCATTTCATTGTTAGGAAAGTTTTTTTAAACCAATGCATCTATTTCTCTCTCTTTCGCCATAAATCTGAGGAATTATTTCGCGCGGTCATTTCTAGTCATTATTATGGAACATAAGCACGATTTACTCGTGGTGCTGAATACCTCCTCGCCTCCTCCTGAACAGACCTTTTTCCTCTCCCGATCTATCCTCAACCCACGCATTCCACGCCCCGTCATGTAAGCTTTAGGCCATCTCATTACATAGTATGTCATATGCAAAAGTTTACTTGAATGGATGAATTTTGAAACGGATAGGGCCGTCTTTTTGTACGGGTAGGACTAGAAAAATTTGAGCGAGCGGTTCGTTGGATCGAGCACCCTGACTTTATGATTATTCTGAAAGTTCAATTCCATTTCAAATGCATTCAATGTGAATGGTGGCTCTATCTACTTTAAATGTCATAGTTTTGTTACCTTTGAATATCAGTGAAAAAAAATTCCAAAAATTCCTTAGTTCCTTTAAAATCCTTCAATTTCATACCTCACCTGAAAACCTAATTTCAAAACTAAAAGAAAGTCAATAGCACAATCTATGCATGATATGAGAAAATAACTTTTCTGAACAGTGAAATGATTCTGCGTTCACATCATTTATTTCCAATCAATGCTGGCCTCCAAGCACATTGTTTGCACTCTTTTAATTGAGCTGATAGCAGACCGAAGTGTGGCAGTGTTCCTGGACAAGATTCAGTTATAACTTTTAATTTTTGTTTAGATTTTTTTATACATTATATTTTTTATCGATTTTATTAATCTTGGTTAGAAATTTTTCCGTTTTTTGCTGTCAACTTTAGGCCGAGGGCCAGGAACAATGTCAGTACTCTACAAATTATGTGTAAAGATGTTTCTTTGTCAAGTCGTTTGGTGGAAGAATCGTTGATATATCGATTTGTAATTTATTATAATGCGTAGCTGATGCTTTTTCATTCGTTGTAATGACTCGAAACATCCATTCTCATTACTAGTTCATTCATTACCTGCACGTATTCTTACTAGATCGTTTCTATATGAATGGCAAGTAAATCAATTACCCATCATCGTGGTGTATGTAACGTTTATATGGAATTACAAAAGCAACTCGTAAGTGTAAATAAACGAACTAATCGATCGTTATCATAAATATTTGTCATTTTGTAGTGAAGGAGAAAGTGAGAGAAAACTGCATTGTAGAGAACAGATAATTCTTAAACCAATAAAATTTAAACAAAAAACGGCATAAGCGCTAAAATGTCTAATGTAGCACTTATGATTGTGGTCGCACGTGTTGCTCCTTGAAACCTCCGTGTCGGCTTTCGTCTTGTTTGCTCCGAGTTACCTGCTGCCTCTTTTGTATATTATATGAGAAACCTCTCCACGGAGCAAATCAAACCGACTGCTTGCACGTTTTTGGAGCGCCCATTGCGGCCAAATCAGTGTGCAGCATCTTTACAATGATTTTTGCATTTTTGTTCCCTCCATTAATTTGTAATTTTACTACTACCTGCGCTACATTAAAATGTAGATTGAAAAAAGCATACACATCATCAGTTCCTTTACTTCGATCATTCACCTTGGAATAGAGATCAAATAAAATGCTAATGATCTTTTAAGGAAAGCCTGGCTTTGAATAGTATCTTTAGTCACCTCCTCTTCAAACTATCGATTTTTGTTATTGCTTGTGCACTAAAAGGCGACAATTTTGAACTTCTTGGCAAAAAATTTTATTTGCTATAAAAAAGACATCAAAGGGATGATGAAATACAAAATTGGGGACTAAAAAATTAGACAATTGCAACTGATTTGAGTTACTGGCAAGTAGCATTTTCAATTTATTAATTTAAAATTAAAATTCATTGGGCTCACTGATCAGCACTAAATTTAATGCATTAAAAAAGCTCATCTCGGCAGATAAATATTTTGGTTAATTATAATCACAGTCAGTGCTTCAAAATGCTTTTAACTGACTTCTCATTTGACTGGCTCCGCTTTTTTTTCAATTCAAAAAATGGCCCTTACCAATTTTATTATTATTATTCGTGGGATACAAATCAAGCAAATAAAAAAATCAAACATTTGCCAAATTCAATTTGAAACTCTAAATAGTGAAGCACAGTCTGGAAATTTGCAGTTTTGAAACACGTCAACAGAAATTAGCATAAAAATGAAAAACTTTCGGCTTTGGGAATTTACTGGCTTCATGAGGGCACTTAATGAATTTCAGAGCGCAGTTCGAAGCCTGCCAAGAAGAAGAGCAAGAAGGGCGGCCACGGCGGGGTCACGGTCCCCGCGCCCCCGATGGTGCCGGCCGCCATGGCCTCGGCGACAACGCCGGCGGCGGCTGCGTCGATGGTTCCGCCGAACGCAGGCAAGCCTGAGGCAAACCACCTCCACTACATGCAAGGACTGAATGCGAGCAGCAAAAAGCCCCCTCCGGTTGTGACCCACACCACCCTCCCTCAGCAGCCAGCGCGGCCGTCCTCGACGGCCACGGCCGCACCAGTCAGAAAGCATTCGGCCGCCCAAGCGATGCCCATGCAGCAGCAGCCGCCACCCCACCTCGCCAACAACATGATGCCCCAGCAGATGAATGCGCCCCAACCCTTGATTTCCCCACCACCCCCTCAGCAGCAACCACCTCAGCAGATGCCACCGCAAAACCAGTTCAAGCCACTTCAAAATCTACCTCCCAATTTGCTGGACGCCTGTGCTGTTGGTAAGTTGGTTGCAGTGGTTGATTATGAGGATTCTTTTTAATTGTTGAAATTAAATTTTGGTCCATTCAATATTTCAATATTTTATTAAAAATCTTCATTAATTTTTGTCACTTTTATGAAACAAAAACTCATTTTATTGTGACATTTAAAAATCAAATTTCATAATAATATATCAAATCATTTAATCATGTATCAAAATCAATCAACTACGGCTTTTTAACATTTAGCTTTTTTTAATTTTATTACTTTGGTAATTTCTTATTTTTTCATTAAATTTTAGACCCTCTTGCCGTCCTGTCAGAAGCGCCGACGTTGCCAATGTCATCTGCCAGTCACATACCCGACATTGACATGAAACCCCTTCTTGGTGTTCCTTCCATGGACCCAACTATGGGCCTGATGCAGTCGATGAAACCTGACTCGCCTCCCACGAACGGAACAAGGAACAGCATGGGCATGCCCATGGGAATGTCCTCGTCCAACATGGCCATGCACCAGCAGCAACCTATGAAAAGGGAATCTGTGGACGACCCAAGTCACTGTAAGTAGATTTGGAAAACTGTAGACCTTGTTCGTTACCACTTACGTTGGGCACAGGGCTGATGAACAATAGCATGGTCGAAAAACAGAACACCCCTCCCGAGGCTGCCAAATCGTCTGCTGCCAACTTTGCGCAGGCTTTTGTTAAGGTTTGTAAAACTTTTTCAATTCACTAGACTGAAAATACTTTTCCTTGTTTTGCATGCGACGGTAATTTGATAATTTTTATTGTCATTATCCCTTTGCTCTTTGTAAGTAAAATTTGAATTTGATTCAGCAGCAACAAGCAGTGTCACCTGCGCCAATCAAGAATGCAATTTCATGGTCGTCGCTGGCTGCAGGTGCAAATCCCAACATGATCCAGACCGCACCTGGTCCGATGCCAATGGTAGCAGGACCTGCCGCCCGAGGCCCTGCGCCTCTTGTCCAGCCGCCGATGGTGTCGATGACGAACGCGTCCATTTCACCTAAAAGTGCGAGTGCCAGCCAAGTTTCCGCTGCTGCACTGAGCGGAATTGGCCCGACCAAGACGGCCAGCTCAGAGTTCCAGAAGTTCAAGAACAAGGCCAAGGAAAAGATGGACAAGGAGCGCCAATTCCAGGAGATGCAGGAGATAAAGAAGCAGCAAAACGAGCAAGTCAAACGAGAAAGGATTCGAATGGAAAACGAGAAGAGGCGCGAGAAGGAGGAGGAGGAAGCACTTGAAAAGGCCAGGTAGGTCCAGGTTTCTCCTATTTTTGGGAAGAGATTATAAACTATTTTTATATTTTGGGATTAAAATGGGTAAAAGCATGAGATTTTGCTAGGATTTAAACTATTGAATATTTTTATTAACTTTTTGCCTAACTGCCGATAACAAGGTTTTTTTAAGTCCATTTACTCAATCACCTATGTCGCTTAGAACTTGCATTTTTGTGACTTGAATTTTTTGGATAATTTTTAATTAAATTATGTTCCAAAATTATAAACTCAGGTTGGCCATTTCCCACAATTCTTCCTCCTCGCACCTCTTCTAGTTCATCAAAGGATCAAAAATTATTTTAAATTTAATTTTAAAGATAATTACAAACAAATCGTCATTGGACACCTTCAATTTGCTTGCAGGAAAGCAATGTCGGAAGCGACCAAGAGAGAAGAACCGCCGAGTCTGCCAACGCTCAATCCCAGTTCTGGAAGTTCTGCAGGCGCCTCCCCTCTGCCTAGCCTGAGCAATGAGTCAGGAACCAGTCCTGGCGCTGATCGAGCTGCCGCCGAAAGGGAGAGACAACGGCTCAGGGAGCAAGAGAGACGAAGGCGGGAAGCGGTAAGTTCATTTTCAAATTTTATTTTTCAGGTCAGCGTGGGATGAACTCGTTGACACAATTTCAAAAAAATCTAAATTATTTTTTAACTTTATTTTTAATTCAGGCAAAGGTTTTAAAGTTGGTTTTTATTTCTTTTTCTACAGATGGCAGGACAAATTGACATGAATAGGCAAAGTGATTTAATGGCAGCTTTCGAAGAGACACTGTAAAATGGACATCCCGATTGCGTTCAGTCAGTTCAGTAATTTATAAGATAGAAAATCAGACCCATGGCAATCTTGCCAGCTCACGATTGAGCGCGGCACAGACACAGCAAGCATTTTTGTACCATGATATATTCAGGAAAAAACGCCGCATCCACGATTGTAATAGACAGGAACCTCTGGTTAGCCTATCTAGCGTTTAAGAGCTACTTCTTTCTATCAAGACCATTCACTAACTCGAGCAAAGGGGAAATCCCTTAAGAGTAAGTTATCGTTTAGTTGTTGACTTTATTTAAACCCCAACCAACAATTCTGGTGCAAAACCAAAAGCAAGACATTCTAAACAAATCTAGAAGGAGAATGACGAAATTAAATGAGGGCACTTCTTTTGTGCTGAAGAAGGGTGTTTCGTAAAACAGAACTGTATAGCACACACTGAAATGGTGATATTTGTCAAATAATAATGATAATGGATGATTATAATTTTCTTTTTTACAACATTAATATAAAATACGAGAGAGTTGAGAGCATGTGCAGTTTCCTTTGTGATTCTTTCTTGTTACAAGTGTAAGAATAATTAGAGAAGGTATGTTGTTTACTACCACAAAAAAACGAGCAAGAAACCTCTGTGTGTACACTATTACTGAGTAATTATTTAATTCACATGTTGATCATTGATGTATATATTTTACCATAATTTTTGTTTTGCTATTTAATTTTGACGATAATGGCTGCGCGCAGAAAGCGTTATATCCATGAGAGTCATCTTAATTTATCTCACGCTGAAAAAGAATGTGGGGGCACTACAAACGTGGCCAGAGCGCACACAAAGCAGTTGCCCCTGGTTATTATTTTTGTTTATGATGAAGAGTTAATTGAATAATAATTAAAAATGGCGAGCGTCCATTCAAGCACATTGTCTGTGTGTTTTTCTTTTTACTGCTACATCTTATTGTAGGCTATCATCCTTTTAAGCAACTTCGAAAGGCCTAACAACCACCTCAAATCAAGAGCGGGAAATATTTCATTTGTCAATCACTAATTGGCATCGTGAAGTAAACAAAAAAATCTAATTCTGCTAATCGTTAAGGCACTACTTCTTGCATCGAGTATATTTACTAGTAGGATATTAACGATTAAAGTTTAAAAAAAAATGGTGTTGCGATATTTAAGGAAAAAATGCTTTTTTAGGAAGTAGAGCTTTTGTGTTCTGCAATTAAATATGATACTAGAAAAACTGAAAAACAGCGCCTTTTAATTAGGTATGACTGTTCCGCGTATTAAAATACTACTTGATCAAATAATGGAGAGTTTCCACCGCGTGTAGATATAATTTATCGACCCTTATTTCGAACGTGGCTTTGTCAAGTATATTGGGTAAAATTGTATTGTTTCATGCAGAATTAGATTTGATTGACCAGTTGATTAGCTTATTGAAAACCTGGGGTTTTAAACAGCCTAGCGTGGAAAGGTATATAAATTAAACGGATTTTAATTATTTTTTCAACCGTGACGAGCAAATAATTGAGGCAATATGATTGTTTTACAAGCTATGTTAAATATGCTGTCCACCACTACTGAAAAATAAAAATGTGTACCATTGACTATTATAATGCAAAACAAATAATTTATGTGCAATGTTCCAGTCACTGTGCATTCAAGCTAAACCAACCGCTGAGAAAATGTATATCTTACAAGATTTGATGCGAATAAAAATTTTATCACAAAATATTAATATACTGTCGGATTTTAATTCTAGAGAGTAGTTGATTAGCTCATCTCATAATCTGTGTCCACGAACAAGAAACTTAATTAATTAATTAAACCATGTATGCGAAGCGCAGCAGAGTTGGCGTAGTTTAAGGCAAGTTGATTTTAAAAAGATAATTATAACATCGCACAGACTGGCCAATGAACGAGAAATTAAGAATTGTGCTTTGATAGCACATCTGTAGATTGTGTAAGCTGCAAAAAAAAACGTTTTAGGGAATTGTGTAGTTGCGTATCTCGAGTGCGCAGTCAAGAAGCATAGCATGAAATGTGAATTTATATAATGTCCAATATGATGCGAGTTTCAACATCACAATGTGCAATGTGTTTGGTTTTGTTCTCCATTATGTGCATGTCTCAACTAAAACTAAATTGTAAATATCTAAACATACATTATTGTTTTCTCTCAGTTTCAATAAAACAAAATTAAAAGCAAAACATGCCTGATTTTCATTTTCTCACCCACCAAATGACCAATACTTGTAGATTTTAATAATATTTTTATTATTAAATTACAAAATATTCAGCCATCAACGGGAGTGGATTTTTTCTTGGGCTTGGCTTTGAACCTGTCCAGAACACTTGGAGGCTGAGCTGGTCGATTGCTGCTCTTACCACCAATAGGTGTGAGCAGGTCTGGCTTGTTGTCCTTCATGAGCTTAATGAAGTCCTAATTTAAAAAAAAAAGAATAATATTTTAGAGTGGTACAGAAGTTTAAAAATATCAACTACCTTCTTCGCTTCTTCTTGCAGGATTTTCCTAGTTTTAGCAGCCTGGACTCCTCCTCCCTTTTTGTTTTTCCTTCTTGGGTTGTAATCGATTTTTGGAGGTCTCATGTACTAAATTAAATAACATTAAAATTTAATATGCAATTTGAAATTTTAGTTGTACCAGAAGTTTTTTCTGAGCTTCCACTTTCTCGTGCAAGGTTGGAATGTCAACTTCAGTGATGGCCAGAGGGTCAAGGGTGATGAGCTCGGCGGGAATCTTTTCCAGCAGCGATTTGACCTCGGCTTCTTTCCTCTGCGACTTGGTTCTGAATGGATTTTGCTCATACGAGTCAAAGTTTGCTTCACCAGAGCCTAACGACAAATAAATTTTTTGTTCAAAAATGAATCATTCAATTTAAATCATCAATAGGAAGTAGATTTTTATTGGTGTTTGAATTTTCTTTTTCCTCAACGTTTTTTAGTAACAATAAACGACCCAAAATAAACCCTTTGATGAAAAGCCAATTTTGAATTGGAACACCTCAAATCTACCCTTATTCCTGGAATTCTAAAAAGACGAAAAACTAAATAATAAATTACCAGGCACTAGAATGCTTGAGAATCCTCGTTCAGCTCCAATACCAAGGACATCTTCAAACGGACAAAACTGCACCTGCTTGATTGACCACTGCTTGCATTTAAAGGTCAAATAAGGTCCATCAACAGGAGTGTTGATGCAGTCTTTGTACACCTAAATTGCAGAAGTTTATAATTGGATGCATATAAAATTTTTTTAATCCGACGCACCTGAACAATATCTCCGTTCCCAGCGGCCAGACAGCCCTTGTGGCTGAGAGACAGCGATGTGGGAACTCCGACCGTCCGGTAGCTCTGCAATGGCTTCATGGCTCTGATGTCCCAGATGTTCATGTTTCTGTCCATTCCGCATGAGGCGATGTACTTTCCAGCAGGGTCAACGGCCATGGACATGATTCCGGTCTTCTGACACAACATTTTGGCCAGAGGCTCTTTGACCATGGGACTCCAGAGAGAAACAACGCCGGTCGGATGGCCAAGGACGACGGTGCCGTTGAAGGGGTTTTGGGCCATGTGGGGCAACCGACCCATCTTTGCATTGAACCCGGCCACCATCTTTCCTATCGAGACGTCCAGCCAGTTCAAATGCCCCGTTTCGGACTAAAATTTGTAATTAAATCAGAGAATTTCAGGGCTTTCATGAATCAGTTACAGCTGCCGCTAGGAGGAAATGATAAGGAAGGTACTCCATGCGCAGGACTTTGTGCATTTGTTTGATGCAATGAATTTCACTTCCTTCGTTGTCGTAAATGTACACCCAATCCTTTTGAGCTGTGGCAAACATGGTCTCGGAGTGGAGCCATCTGGAAACTTTCGTTACAATTCAATCTCAAAACATTTTTGATTTCTCACTTCAGATCCATGACGTCTTCCATGACATTGATTTCGCACATGAGTCTCTTGGTGACCCAATCGAATGCTGCTACGTGACCCCTTCTACCACCCAGCAACAAATTTCTCCCATTTCTGGTATAGTCAATTCTGAAATTTAAAATAAATATATTTTATCTAAATTCCTAAGCTTTTTATAGGAAGTTTATTTTTTATTTTTTATTACCTATAAGGTCCAAATTCCAAATTAAGCTCAAAATGTTTTGTGGCACTTGTGATGTCGACAGCCTTTACAATCTGCTTTTGAGTGAATTCAGCAGTCTCCTCATATCCTTCAGGCTCTAAAAATCTAAAATAATTTTTTAATATCAAGTTTTTTCAATTATCATTAAGAACAAACCCTGCATCTTCTGTGAGAAGAAGCTCATTCCTTGCAGCTTCCTCGGTGAAAAATTTAATTTTCTTCTCCTTCGACTCGAGCCTTTTCCTGAAAGTTTTCTGCTTGAAGCTTTTAATAGATACTCCAGTACCTCTGGAGTATTTCTCCAAAATCTTTTGGTCAATAATCGGGGGCTTTAAAACTTGTTCCTTTTCATCCTTCTTGGGCCCTGCACGTTTTTCCAGCGCCGGTTTCTTTCCATCCTCGATTTTTGTTTGGGCGAATTTCATCAGTTTTTTCGCCTCGGCATTTGGCTCGAGTCGATTTTTTCTTCGCTTTGCCCTGTTTGGATTTGAATCTTGGCCTTCCGCTTGAGCCAAATCGCTACTCTTGCCCATTGCACTGGACGAGTTGAATTTCTTGCCATGTTTTTTCTTCGGTTTTTCACTTTTCATTGTTCACTTTGTCGACCGAATACTTCCGTGCGTGAAGAACTGAATGCAAGTACTAAAATTAGATCAAAAAAATTTAGCACGTACATAAAATCGGCAGAAATAATCAATTAATTACCTACATACAAAATTGTTGCTCATACAACTCACGTGTGTTTATTTTTGTGATTCGCCGTGCGATCTGCGATGCGCATTTGTTTCAAGGCGCGAAAAATATTCTTCAGGACACGCGCTCGCATTTTTATTATTATTTTACAATGTCAGATAGGTTGAATAAGGAATTAAATTTCTCCGATTTATTTAACTAAATTTAATTAAATGCAGAACATTTTTGTCTGATTAAGGCTATGCCTATTTCCTACATATTTTAAAACAAAGTGTGTGTTATCAAAAATATAAGTTAATTATTTTTTAATTTTATTTACATGTCAATGGTATTTTGTTTTCGTTTTTTTTTTTTTTTTTCATATTTTCCTTACATTTTTTGCATACAATTTCAGTCAAAAGTGACGCAGTTCAATTTTACACAAAAGGAGCAATTTCTAAATAAAAAATTAATGTACTACATAATTATGATGTAGCTTGTTATTGAACTAGAAGCCATGACTGTACAGCCCGAAAGTGTGGATGCCACTACTTGGCTGACGAGCACGAATAGAGTAAAATGTGTTCTGCGAAGAAAAATTAAATTCTTCAGGCTTCAATGGCCCACAATTGTGAGAGTTCAATGTATTGGGCAGAACAGCATCATTGGAGAAATTTCCCGAAATTTCCAAGCTCGAAAACAACACATTGGTCGAATATTTAGATTTATCAAAATTGTGGGCGCAGCTTTGCTTTTCAGAGCTTGCGCAGGCCACCACAGCGCAAACCTGCATTTTGCTTTTATAAATATTTGCGTGAATTCGCTCCCCACTGAAGACCAAAATTTGGAAGTGGATGTTCCTATGATTTAGCCCGTTTGAATTTATTCGGTAATTCACTTGACAGCATAACTCAGAACTGCACACCGTCTCCTTCTGAGGCTGATTGCTAACAGTGAGAGCCTTTGCTGTGTATTTGCTCAGGTCCTCTTCTAAAGTCTTGAATCCGCACTTTGTTTCTAGTTTGGTTTCTGCGCTGCCAGCACCAACTCGAGAGACTAAAATTTTGTTACCTTCCGAAGACATCATGGTTGTGTAAAATTTCCCTTTTTGATAAACTCCGCTGCCTGTACTGCCAACCACGGGATTGTTAAATCCAGATGCGAGCAAGTCCACTTGCATCCCTGCAGACCAGGCGGCCTGTGCTTGGCTGGCTAAAATAATTTATTTATTAAATTTTTAAAAACAGAAATTAAATGCAAACCCACCAGTAAGAAATGGCAACTCAGAGAACCAAGCTGTGGGAAAAACAATTCCATCGACCAGTTGCCGACGTACCAAATCAACAGCTGGAGTCCGAAACATCAGATCGAAGCAAGTGATGACACCAAAGGTCATTCCAAAATCTGTGTCGAAGGTCGTAATATCGGGAATTTCTGTCTCATTGAGAGCAATTTCTCCGAACAAGTGAAATTTCCTATATCTGTTTAAAATAAAAATGTATATTACTTAATTGTTTTCAATTAATTCGATATGAACCTTGCAATAATTTTCCCATTTCTATCAAACACAGCATCAGTGTTGTAGAGCAAAGGTTTGTTGTCCTGCATGACCTTTTGAAGAAGATTGACAACCAAATAAATTCCATTTTCCTTTGCCAGACACGAGAGTTTCTTAGTAACTCTAAAATCCTCTTCTTCGTTGTCGGAATCACAAGGTGACATGTTTTCACCAGGGGCTGGGACGACCTGACTCAACTCGAGTGCCAAGTCTCGTTGATTGTACGGCGAAATGGTTGTCAGGCCATATTCGGGAAAAATTATAATGTCAGCTTCCTAAAAATGATTTAGTTTTAATAAACAATTAAGACTAGATTTATTAAGGGAAATACCTGGCTTCGAGCTTCAGCAACAAAGTTTCCATAGCTTTTAAGGTTTTCCTCAACATCAGCGGTTGTAACATTGGATAGTCTGCCTTTAGGAGAAAACTCGACAACGGCTGCTACGTAACTATGGCCAGTCACAGACGAACTTTGAACGTCCAACGGCTGCACCAAACAAAAATTAAAAGTTGAAATTCGTTCATAACATCTCAAAATACTTTTCCGTTTTCAGTGAAAAGGAATAAGCATATCCCTAATACACTAACTAGTGCAGCTACTTTCCATTTCAGTTCCATGTGAACAATTTATAAACACATCTCCAGCAAAGGTTATCCGAAAAGAAATATAAACAGATACTGAAATAAAAACTGGATGACCTTGCTACAACTCTGCTGCTGGTGTGCAATTGAATTTCGTCTTTCATTTGTTGCGAAAGTGCACACCGCAACTATTCAAATAAGATATTATGGTGCATGATTCACAATCGGAGGAGTGAAATGCATGTAAAATAAAAATTAATATAACGGAATAAATTATCTTAAGTGAGTGCAATTAAAGCAAGTTACAAAGGAAATGGAAATTATTGCCGCAAACTTGATAAAATGAGTCATTTTAGGATTAAACAGTAAAAATTAAATTCGATGATAAAAATTACTATAAATAATTTATATACTATTTACTTAAACATATTTGCTGATCAACAGTAAAAAATATTTTGTGTTTACATTAAAAAATCAATAATTTCTTGTTTATGTTATTTAAGTCTACTGGCCATTTACGATTAAATTTTCCCTCCTCTCTATCTGTCGGGAATTGTTCCAAAACAAAGAGGAACCACTAAAATGCTCTTCGATTTCTGCCAGGGTCCTGCCCTTAGTTTCAGGCAAGAAAAAATAAGCAAACAAAGTGCCGGCAAAAGTCATCAATCCGAATAAAAGAAAAAGTCCGTGCGGTTGTAAAACGTGGGTCATCCAAGGATACCATTTCGAGGTAAAAAAGAGAACTGCGTTGATAACGGCACAAGAGACACCGCTAGAAAATCCTCTGGCTTTGGCAGGAAACAGTTCACCAATCATGAGCGCCTGGATTGTGAAAAAGCCATACGAGTTGAAAATAACGTAGATCACAACCAGCGCAGAGGGCACCCAGTCGTATCCTTTGAAGTCGGGACTCCAATACAACCACCAACTCAAAATAAGAGCGGCAGTTCCGGAACCAAGTCCAGATGAAATAGTCAGCGGACGTCTTCCAACCTAATAAAAAGATAAAAATCTAGAAAATAACCAGAAATAATCATAATAAAATTGTTACTTTTAAAAGCAAGAAGCAAGCAATTGTTGTGAGGAGGACTCTTGTTAAGGCAGTGACCACAGCTATGTTGGTGTCAGACACTTGACCTCCAGAGGCTTGTCGAAGGACACTGACGGCGTAGAATATTATCGTAAAAGTTCCACCCATCACTTGGAAAAAGTTGAAAACGTTGACGACTAAGAGGGCTCTCAGCACTGATCGACTTAACAGCCGAGATCTGCCCCCGATTGAAGTGTGAGCCTCTTCTATAATCTGAATTATAATATTATTCGTTATTTTAATTTAATTCAAGTTGTAATTAATTATTTACCCTGTTGTGAATTTGCTGTTCTTTGATCAGAGCGAGCTCTTTTCTGGCTTGAGCCTCACTACCCCCTCGCAGCCAGGTCATTGCTTTCAACGCTTCATCTGATTTGTTCACTCGCTCCAACCAAAGTGGGCTCTCGGGCAGGCAAAACAGCGAGACTAAAGCGACCAAGGGCAGAATTGTTGACAAGGCTGCAACAAGTGTCCACGGCAGTGACGAATTCAAAGCGTAAATAAGCAGAATGCCCATGGAGAAACTCGCAGATGGCGCTCCTGCATAAATTTTAATCACAATAATAATTTCATAAATAACAAATTATACCAGCTAAGAGGCCTCGCAGTCTCGGTTCGGCCATTTCTCCCAAAAGCACAAGCGCTGCGGGTGCAGACAAGCCTGTGGACATTCCAGTCAACGACCTTCCAATCAAAAGTGCAAGGTGTGATTTCGAAAGAGCTATGCAGATCCAGCCAAATATTCCAGGAAATATGCTGACGAGCAACGTGGTGCGGCGCCCAAGGTGTTCCATTATTGGGCCGCTCATCAGTGAGCCAATTGGTGTCACAATCGAATGGATACTTGCTAAAATAATAAAAAATAAACTCAAAAATCCAGTACAATAAAAAGAATTATGTACTTATCCATGATCCTTCCTCCTCAGTCGTAGGAATGGTACTATTTTCCGCTTCTAGTTGAGGTAAAAGTAGAGCAGGAAAACCTGAGGTCATGCCATTTGCTGCAGTAACTAGCAGGGCCAACGTTGCCATCAAAATCTGCAAAAAATATTATTTTAAATTTTTATTTTTATTAAAATTTTCTCTTCCAACCAACCTGGGCAACGATGGCTTTGTACGAGTGTTTTGCATAGTCACACGCAGAACTTGCGGGCGTGCATTCTATTTGTGCAGAAGGAGCAACCTGTTGAGCCATTTCCACTGGCAGCCTCTAATTGCAAAATGCTATGTATTTTCTCTTTTTCCGTCGCTCGGAGTGACGCGCGTGTTGCTGCTCTGTGGGGGCATTTTTTAGTTTCATAGCAACATTGACACTTGCCCCAGTAAAGTGGTCGACATCGCGACGAATTAAGTATTTGTTTCTCGGCGACCGCATAGCGGTCAGGCTAATTAAACGAGTCTGTTTTCGAGTGCAGCTGATTTAAAAATTGCAAAAAAACATTCGAGCATGGCTGACAAAGGGAAGCTTTCCGATTGGTCAAAACGCATTGACGTCATCAGTCGACCAATCATCAATTTTGTTGATATTTTTTCATTGGCTGGAATGAGGGGGGTGAGGACGTCAATAAATTTAGTGGCGGGAACAAGCTTGGATCGAAAATTTAATATGTAATAAAACGAATCGCCTCGTGCCCAAGCTGCTGGCAATAAAAAGATAGCATTAATCTATATCCGGCCTTATCAACTGGCAACTGTCATAAAAATTTAAATTGCTCGCTCTGAACTAACTTGGTTAAAATTATTAAAAATTATTAGGTAATATACCAAAATATTAATTTTATAACAAATTTGCACAATCCTGAATCTCATTGATAACTATGATCTATGATACGCGACATTTATCAATAAATCTGAAACTTGCCTGCGAATGTGATGCTCAGTTCGTACAGACCGAACTACTTTAAAGTACAGACGAAGAGCAGCAGAGAGATCAGATGTTGGTGAAGCAATAAAAAACTATAAAATAAATAATTTCTGTGCGCTGCTTACTTCATCGCAAACAACAAAACAGACACTGAGCTATCGTTGCTATATCAGTAGACAGAGTCACTCTGCGTTATGTGTCAAGTTCAACCACAAACATCTGGTTTATTTTATAATATCCATAAAAACTCTCTCTCTGATATAGATATAGAAATATGCAAATATTTTTAACTGATTGCAGCGCTGACTACAAGCGATTCTATGAAACTGCTTATTTTTATAAAGGCACTCTTGCGTTTCAATGTGGGAATTGGAAATTTAATGGAAATTTGCATTTTGAGAATAAAAAAATTATATCAATTTTTATTTCTTTAAAACATCATTATGAGTTTATCTATCACAAACAGAAATAATTAATTGATTTATTTTTTTTCCTCGTTAAACAATTTTAATCTCGGCCAATCTTTTCAATGCAACCCTATCCAGCTTGTTACCTTTGCTCTCAGGCAGCTTTTCCAAAAATTCAACACCACCATGAAGGTGTTTGTAGTCAGGAAGTTTTTGTTTCACAAATTCGCAGAGCTCTTCTTCGGTGACGTCAAAACCCGGCTGCTTCACCACAAAAGCTCGAGCCAAGCAAGTTGTCGAGGGATTCGGAACTCCCACAACCCCCACCGACTGGACTCCAGGGTGCTCTTGAAGCACTGCCTCTATTTCAGTTGGAGAAACCTTAAGAAATTTCATGATAATTTTATATTAATTTAGAGATAATTAAGCTTACAATAAACATGTAGTATTTGAACATAAATCCAAGTCTCTCGGTAATGAAGATTCGTCCCTCTGTATCAAAAAATCCTACATCCCCAGTGTGCAGCCAACCTTCTTCATCTTTGGTAACTTGTATGCCCTTTAAAAAAAAAAAACAATATAAGGAATTTATATTGATTATTTTCTATACTGAATCGGAGTTGGCACACAGGTAGCCCTTCATTAAATATGGTGACCGGATGCAAATCTCTCCGACTTGGTCTGCTTCTAATGATTGCCCATCGCTGAAGTCAATTATCTACACAAATATTACTCAAAATTTAACAATTTATTCATTAATTTTTACTTTGGCCTGAACGTTAGGCAGCAATTTTCCTGATGATATGCACAACTGACCTACAACATTATATTCTAAAAATTTAGAATTTTATTTAATTAAAAAAATCTTTCTACCTTCATACTTTACAAAAATCAACTTCTCCAGAGAACTATCAATCAGCGTGTTAGCAATATCAAGTGTCTCAGATGAGGCATAAACCTGACCATATGAAGAAATAAATAATAATTTTTCTTTTTTAAATTTCTTTTTGCGAAAATATACCCGAACAATCTTAGCACAGGGCATCTTTTTTGAGAGTAACTCGGCCGTTGTTGGATCAAGAACGCCGCCTCCAACAGTAATTATTTTTACGAAGCTCAAATCAGTTTGCGCCAGTTCTTCACATCTGGCAAACCAAGTTGCAACAAAGGGGTACATCAAGCAGTTTCCAGGCTTAAAATAAATAATAATTTAAGAAATTAATGAGCAAAAATTAATTACTTTGAATTTGAGCATGTTCGCTATGTAATTCTCGCGCTGGAATTTCCCCAGGTGAATAATCGTTGAGCCACGCAGCAAACTTGCAATTGACACGACATAGCTGCCCATTGCAAAATTACTCATCGGGGTCATGAAATCATAATTTAAATGTTCCAGAGAGCTAAATAATTTGTTATTAAATAATATTAAAAAAAATATTTAAATTTAAATTACTTTGGATGGTGGTTGAAGGCAATTGTGGAGTAATGGGTGTGCAGAACGCCTTTTGGCACGCCTGTGCTTCCACTTGTATTGGGAATAAAAATCACATCCTCTTTGCAATTAATTTTCAAATTTTCAGGACAAGCTTTAAAAAGGTAATTACAAATTGTTTTAAATTTTAATAATAAATTGTTTACCAGTTCCATCATCATCCATAAGAGATTTGACTGATGTGATATTTATTGATTTCCCAAACGTAAAAAAAGTGACCGGCCACTCAAGGTGGGAGGCAGATTTTTGCAAAATTTCCTCCGTTTCGTCATCAACCAAAATAAACCGTGCTCCAGTTTCCTTCAATTGCCTCACGTACTCCTCTAATTAATCAAACATTATGCAAATTGTTTCAACTTCATTGTGTCGGAAATAAAAAAAGTTGCACCTGTGTTTTCCAACTGATAACAGCCTCTAACTGTGCCACCCAGACGCCAGACTGCAACTTGCAGCAAATAAAGTTGCGCCGTCTCGTAGGTGACAAAGTGAAGAACGTCTCCTTTTTCAAAGCCGAGCCGAGCCAATGCACTTGCAATTTTCTTCGAGTCTGGCTCAATTTGACGGAACAAAACTTGCACGCCGGTGTGAGCGTCAATCTATTAAAAAATAAAATAAATATTTCCGTGTTTCAATTATTCAATATGAACATTACCACCCAGGGTTTTTCGCTATTGAGGCGATCATTTTTCTTCAAGCTCTCAAATAAATAGTCAGTAATCGATATTTCTGGCACCTCCGATGGGTCTGCAGCAAGTGGCGAAATGAAGATTTTCTCAGTGTTGCTTGTATTCATTTCTCTAAAAATCAAATTTAAATATTAAATGAATTACCATTTAATAAAAAAAATAAGTAAAAATATTTACTATATAATTATATAATGGAAGACCAAGAGAAATTGAATGAATTAACTTTGTGCGCGCTCACCGCAGGCTTCTTATCAAGGTGCGCTTATAAACAAATATTTCTTATCAAACGTATAGAGATATGGACAAATAATGTTCATCTATAAGCTTCCGAGATGCAAAAAATTAATTAATTCAACAGCTGAAGAAAGCACAAGAGGTTGCTGCATTTTTTTAGTGTGTAGATGGTGGGATGGGTGTATTTGGAAAAAAAGAAAGTGTGCAAAAATTGACGTTCGCCAGTGATAAAAATGGCGCGATAAATTTTTAAATTGGTATCTCTCTTTTTGTTCTTATGCAACAGGTCTTGAAAAAAATTAATTAAACAACCATGGAAATCAGACGGGACGATATGGGAATGAACAAACATAGCCAACGTAAAGCTATTTTGGCTCAGGTGCGAATCAGTGCGAATTACAAATATATTAAATAATTTAAAACTTCACGATTGTGAAAGAAAAGGCCTTTCTGACAACTGCTGTTCTCTTGGTGACGGCCACAAACGGAATGACAGCGGGTTTCCCTGCCCTTTTGCTACCTCAGCTTGAGTCGGAAAACAGCACCCTTCCAACCACAGAGGAAGAGGGCTCCTGGATAAGTGCGTTAATATGAGGGCAAATAACTAACGATTTTATTTTTTAATTAGCAAGCATCCACTCAATTGTGACACCGATTGGGTCGCTCGCGTCCGGCCCAATAATGGAGCGCCTAGGGCGCCGAACCACCCTTCTCCTCAGCATAGTACCTGGACTTATGGGCTGGCTCACAATTTCCTTGTCAAAATCGCATACGACCATATTAATTGGCAGGTCGCTGACTGGAATTACAACAGGCCTGTCCGCTCCACCGGCGTTGGTCCTGCTTGCAGAAATGGCCGAGCCAAAATTACGTGGCTTTTTAGTTGGTATATTTTATTTGCGTAAAAATTTGAAGATTTTTTAATGATAAAAATTAGGAGCGCCGTCGACAAGTTTTTCCATTGGAATATTGATTATATATTCCTTGAATACTATTTTGCCCTGGCAAATGGTCGCAGCTGTGGCCACAACACTACCCTTCATAGCATTCGCTTCATTTTTCTTGCTTCCTGAAAGTCCGCTGTGGTTGGCTAAAATGAACAGGCCAGACGAAGCCATGAAATCATTAACATGGCTGAGAGGAGGAAATGCAGAACAGGCCAGACAAGAACTAGAACTCTTGGAGGAGCAACAGCAGCATAATAAAGTACTAATTTATGATTCAAGAAAAGTTATACCGATAATTATTTTAGATCATTGAAGAGGCTTGCTCGGATATAAAAAGTCGATCCTCAGCACGTCCAATCTTGAGGGCTTTGATGGTGGCCAACGTCTTCAATTTTTTCCAAGTGATGGCTGGAACTTTCACAATAATTTTCTACGCTGTCAGTGTCCTCCAACAAGCTACGGGTGGTCAAGTGTCAGACACAGACGTAGCAGTGATCACAGCTTTAACCAGAGTGATTCTCACAACTATGGCCTGTTTTATGCTTCTCAGAGTAAATAATTTTAATATTGAATAATTTTCATAATTTAGAGAATCATTTCAGATAGGACGACGACCAATGACCATTTCTTCAGGAGTCGGGTCAGGAATTGCAGCATTCGTGTTGAGTGCCTGGCTTTATTGGGTCCCTGAATCAGACGATCACGCTTGGGTTCCAGCAGCTCTCATCATCGTTTTTGTGATCTTCAATTCGTACGGCTTCTTCATGATTCAAGGGTTGATGATCGGAGAAATGTTCCCTGCCAGAGCCAGAGGCCCTGCCAGTGGCATTACTTGCGCCATAATCAATGTTACCCTCTTCGCCACATCCAAAACGTATCCGTGGATGACTCACGTCCTGAAGCCAACTGGACTTTTCCTCTTTTTTGGGCTCATGACGGCAGCCGGGACTCTTTTTGCGTATTTATTCATTCCTGAAACTCAAGGAAGTACTTTAGCCGAGATTGAGGAGCATTTCAGTGGGCCGTCATTGATCTGGAGGAGCAAATCAATTAGGAAGAATGCGGACGGAGTAAACGACCAAGATGCAGAAGTTGCTATTTTGAGGGTTTAAAAAATACAATCGCTGAACGCTTGAGGAACACCAATTGACGCAAAATATTGCAAACCTTGACTGAAAATAATACAAGTTAAAAATAAAAAAAAACCCTGTTTAATTTTTTTTTAAAATATAATGCTTGCTTTGAGATAACATTGAAAAAATTATTTATTGATCACTACAATTGTTCATAGCCTACAAATATATAAGCCGCAGTCCAATAAAATGGAATTTAAATTTAAAATGAATCATCATAACTAACAATAAAACAAGAACAAGAGGCAGTCTACATGATTATCTGAAAAATAAATACTTTTGTAAAAATTTAACTAGACTAATTTGTGTTTTGAGCGTTCCGAACTGGCATATTTTCAGTTATGTTTTGCCTCCTCTCTGGAGAATTATTCCGACCCCAAAAAAGTGAAGGGCCGCTAAAATGCTCTTCGACTTCTGCCAAGGTCTTGCCCTTTGTTTCGGGCATGAATAAGTGGGCGAATAAGGTTCCTGCCAGCGTCATTAATCCAAAAAACAAAAACAGCCCACTGGGCTTAAAAGCATGCGTCATCTTGGGATACAGTTTGGTGGAGAAAAATAAGGTGGTGTTTATGGTGGCACATGTCACTCCACTGGCAGGACCTCGAGCCCTCGCAGGGAACATTTCGCCAATCATCAAGCCTTGGATCATGAAAAATCCGTACGAGTTGAAAATCACAAAGGTTATGACCAGAGTGGGGGGCACCCAAGAAAACATGGTTGTCTCGGGAGCCCAAAGCAACCATGCACTAAGCAGCAAAGCTGCAGCACCAGAGCCGAGACCAGAGGAAATCGTCATTGGCCGTCTCCCAATCTGCATAAAAATAAAATAAATTTAGTCATTGATGTTGGTTGCATGATTAAAATTTTAATTACTCTGAGAAGCATGAAACAGGCAACAGCAGTCAAAAGTACTCTGGTCAGTGCAGTTACTACTGCGATTTCTGTATCAGTCGCTGTTCCTCCTGTAGCTTGTTGGAGGACATTGACCGCATAGGAGATTATTGTGAAGGTTCCAGCCATCACTTGGAAGAAGTTGAACACATTGACAACCATCAAAGCTCTCAAAATTGGACGCGAGAGAAGTGGTGATCGATTTTTGGAAGACGAGTTTGCCTCATCGATTAACTGAATAAAATATTAAGTTTAAAATGAAATTCTAAAATACGAGGTACGTACCTGATTGTGCTGTTGCTGTTCGTTCATAACTTCAAGTTCATGTCTGGCTTGTTCTTCACTCCCTCCTCTCAGCCAAGTCAAAGCTTTCAGGGCTTCTTCCTTTCGGTTCATCTTTGCCAGCCAAAGAGGGCTTTCAGGCAAAAGGAAAAATAAAATCAATGCCAAAAGTGGTATGATCATTGCAACAACAGCCACCGTTTTCCAGGGTAAGACGGAGCTCAAGGCATATATAAGCAAAATTCCTAACGAAAAACTTGTTGAAGGGGCACCTGGACAAAATTTTAAAGTTATTAGCTTTGAATGAATTGCATAAAAATTTTTTTAGTACCAACTAAAAGCCCTCGTAGTCTCGGCTCGGCAATTTCTGCAAGCAACACCAATGCTGGGGCTGCAGAGAGTCCGGTAGCGATTCCAGTCAGAGATCTCCCAGCCAACAAAGTCAGATGAGAATTGGCCAGAGAGATGCAAAGCCAGCCCAAAACTCGAGGGATTATACTGATGAGTAGGGAAGAGCGACGTCCTATTCGTTCCATGATGGGCCCGCTCATTAGTGAGCCAATAGGGGTCATAATTGAGTGAATACTTGCTGCAAATATTTATTAAATAAAAAAAGATTTATAAAAAATAACCTTTTACCTATCCACGACCCTTCCTCTTCAGTAGTCAGAAGGGTGCTGTTTTCTGACTGAAGCTGCGGCAGCAGAAGAGCTGGATAGCCTGCGGTCATTCCATTAGTAGCAGTTATCATAAGAGCAACCGTTGCCATTAAACCCTAAAAAAATATTTAATATTTCTTGTAATCAAAATATGTAAACAAAAAAATTATGTATTAAAAATACCTGAGCAAGAATGGCCTTGTAGGAGTATTTTGAATACTTTGTTCTGTTTTGCTCGTTGCTAATATTTGGCTCGTTTTGTAAAGCTTCGGTCGACTCGTCGTTTTCGGGTCCGCTTTCAACCTCGAGTTCATTTCTGCCGTTGTGCGAAGGCATATTTTTAATTTTTGTCAGCCTTGAGAAAAATACCTGATTTGATTTGTCCGCGACTCCTCGAGATAGCTGAAGTCGTCAGCAGGCGGAAGGCACCATTCCAACAGCGGTGAAGATCATTGGAGATTCTTGAGTTGTTAAAACTTAAAAGGCAATTAGATCGACAATAAAAGTTCTAAAAAAGGCAGCGCAGGTTGCATGCTGTGGCCACCTGGCCAGTCCATGTTTTGATTTCTTGCCAACTTGACAGCATCAATTGCCGTAATTGCAGCACTGACTGTAAACCACGCCCCCTTATTGTGAATCAGAAAATCGGACCAGAAAAGAAAAGAACGAACTCAATTTTGCTGCGTTTAAGGCGTTTATTTTATTTGCTTGCGATGAATCCCATTACCTGGGAGGAGTTTTATTTGAGGAATGCCGCGCCTAGTGACTTGGAAAGCAGGAAGAAAGAGATTCAGTCGTTCTGTCAAAAATTTGAGCCATCTGATTTGAGAGTTGTCCTCATAACTGTAAGTTAAATTTTAGGTTTAAAAAAAAAAAAAAATCAGTATCCATGCAAAATGAAACTGGTAGAATTTTCTAAATGTTTTATTTTTTAACTAAAATTAATAATGTGTTTTTTTTCAGTCAGGAGGTACAACTGTGCCTTTGGAGCACAACACGGTACGATTCGTTGACAACTTCAGTGCAGGAACTCGAGGATCTGCTTCTGCAGAATATTTTTTGAAGGCCGGCTATGCAGTCATTTTTATGCATAGGTAAATCTTGATGAAATTTTTACAAACAAATAATTTTACGTATCAATTTTTCCACAGATACAAATCTCTCGAGCCATTTTCCAGACATTTCAGTGGCAACGAACTTTTGGACTCAATACAAGTATTAAAAGATGACTCGTTACAAGGTTTTTTTAACATCCCCTAGAGCAATTTATGAAAATAATTAGATAATTACTTATTTACTTTTCAGTCGACCCTGCAAAAGCTCCAGTTCTTTTGCCAATTCTTAAGGACAGAAAGGAGGCCCTGGACTCTGGACGTTTGCTGATGGTTAATTTTACCACTTTGACTGAATATCTTTGGATACTGAGGGCTTCGGCTGAAGCGATGGCTTGCCTTAACTCCAGAGCAATGCTATACCTGGCAGCAGCAGTTTCCGATTTTTATGTCCCGCCTGAGAAAATGGTATTTAAAAAAAGAAGAAAATCATTGAACCTTTATTAATTAATATTATATCACATTATTTATTTTACAGCCTGAGCACAAAATTCAGTCGACTGGAGGGCCGCCAGAAATTTCTCTTCAGCTTGTGCCGAAAATGCTGCGTCCTTTGGTTGCAGACTGGGTGCCAAAAGCATTTGTGATTTCTTTTAAACTGGAGACTGACCCGTCGCTTTTGGTGTCAAAATCTCAGGAGGCATTGAAAAATTACAGGCACAAGGTAATTATTCAGACCATTATTATTACGGAATTTATATATTACTTTCTAAACAATTTTCAGGTTGTGATAGCAAATGAGTTGCATTCAAGAAAGAGTAGGGTGACCCTTGTCACTCCCAACAGCCACCACGAAATTGTGTTGAGTAAAGAAGAGCTGGATGCTGGTGTTGAAATAGAGGAACGAATAATCAACGATTTGGTTGAACAGCACACATCAGCTATGACTACCTTAAACTAAAAAAAAGCGCAAGTTTTATGTATTAAATTGTTATATTTGTTGCCAGATTAAAAAATATATTTTAGTAAAGAATTGTTCTTATTTAATAAAAAAGTGAAATTTTAATTATTAATCACAGACTCTGCAACCCGCAATGCAATTAGTTTGCAAAAGTTGTCTTAGAGGGCGCTGTGAGCCATCAAGTTTGCTCCGTTGATCATCTCATTTCGGCGCATTCATATTCCCTGTGGCTACAAACATTCCACGCGCAGTGTCAAAGTAGTTCTTACCATTTGCTATTTAATTTTAAGTCAAAATCAAAAGCATTTTCAAAATCGATCAGCCGGTGAACAAATTTCATGCATTCGAGTCCAATAAAATAAGAAAATGTTTTCAAAATTCAAGAGAAGTGGACAACAAAGGTTAAAAAATTTTCCCACAGTCTGCGCGCGGAGGGATTCGTGTCCGGACTACTAGCAAGGCTAGTTCTTTTGGCGGCCACGCAGCTGCTGCAGCAGCGCGGCGCTACGGTTGAACTGGAAGCGGCATTCCAAGTGGAGACCGTGGGCCGAGAGGGTTTATCACTGCGTATGGTGATAAAAACAATGGATTATCAGTTGGAAAATGGCTTGGATCTTCCACGAGTGTAGTGAAACTTTGGTCGGTGAGCAGATGTGTGCCTAAAAGTGAGTTTGCCGACGATTCCCGAAGAATTCTCGCCGCTTCCGCCAAAATGAAGCCGCGCGGCCACTCGCCGATTCTTCTCTTCACCCTCCTCGCCGCTCTTCTGCAAACGGTCGCAGTCGATGGTAAGCAATTTGAATTACGTATTTAAAGATTGATAGTTTTGTATCAATGTCGAGGAAATGTTTAGAATAAGGTGATGCTTTTTTCGTTGCCTCTCTCGCGGCCATTTCTGCAGGCATTTTCTTGAAGACCTGTTGCCATGATTTGCGCCTTGCGTGTTTCGAAGGAGCTGTAAAAATAAAAAGAAACAGGATGGCCTGACTGTCGATTTTAGAAGTGAATCACTTCCAGAACTTGAAATATGTAATAATTATTCTAGTGGAGACGATTGTAAATAATTGGTCAAGGAAAGAAAAGAAAAGACGACGACCGGCGATCTTAACAGGTTGCGGTGATTTCTCGGAGACTTTAATGACCGTAAATTACCTGCCGCTTTTCAGAGGAATTTTCAAAAAATTATTTCGTGTTTTAGGATGAGCAGAATTGATTATTATTATCAACTAATAATAATAATGTTACCGCGGCTTCTTAAAAAAAATAGAATGAAAATGGAATAATAATTATAATTGTTTCATAAAATTGAGATTATATTTTGGTTTATTATAAGGTTTATTATACATTTAATTAAGAAAAAAATGCGTGGGAGTCGAAAACGACACCTCATTAGGTTCGGGTTCTGGCGTTGCAAGCAATTTGGGTGCTTTTGCTTTACCAAAGGCTTATCAAAAACACCATCAACAGTTTAATTTTCTCCTCTGCGGCCCGTGAAATTACGACAAAATATTAATTTAGCATCAGATGAAAAGTCATTTACCGCGCTTGGTCGCTCACTCGCGGCCAAAAACAAAAACAAACTTTTGGGCTGCAAAAAATAAAAAGGGAGAATTGATTCGAGGACGCTTTTGTCGCGCTACACATTTTTTTTGTCGGTTGGCAAAAGACCAACGATATTGACAACCAGTGCAGATTCTTCTTCAGTGCTGATTTGCAATAATTTACATGAAACACGGGTTTCTCAGAATTTGAGGGTCAAAGTTCTGCAAATTATGGAAGCTAAAAATAACTTCACAATTTTTGCAACTACGAAAAAAATACAGTAAAATTAAACACAAAAATATCCTTTTTTTTTATGAAGGAACAATTTTAATTTTATACAAATATTGATTTTTTTTAAGAAATTTTACTTAATTATTGCAATATATCACAGATTTCTGCATAAAAAGGCAGATTGCATACAATCATTTTTTCTCGTATCTTTTAATGAGGGGCCAACGCACTCAAGGAAATGATAAGTAGTGTCCATTCCTCGGTTGCATTTTTTTATTTGCACAAGGAATGTTCTTGAACCCTGTGTCTCGGTGATAATTTTAATTTTGACACGACGTGACAATCAAGTAAATTAACGTCAGTTCCAGAAGCAAACTTTATGTTTTTCATGCATTTTATTTTAATGAAATGCAATTTCAATTTTCTGAATTTTAGATAAATTGTGTTGACAGAGAGAATTAAACTTTTATTAATAGTTTAGATAAGAACAAAAAACCAAGGCTCACTGCGGGTCTTTTTTTATCTCGGATGTTTTAGCAAAATTCTTGCTAGTGGTGGTGCCGTTTTGTACAATAATTCCATTCTTTTCAAATGATTAAATAATTGTTTTCAGCACAATTGTGATCATAATTTGGATATTTAAACGAAAGAATGTCTAATTTTTTTTATTCCAAGCCGCTTCATTTTGCCACTTCACTTCCTCCCAACGAATCGCGCATGCAAGGATCAGTTGGCCGTTTTTAAAAGTCTTGATGATCCGCAGCTGTTTTTCATTGAAAGCGCGATTTAAATGTGCACGGAGGAAATTTTCCGTTTCGGCATGCGCGTCAACCCTCACTTTTGGCTTCTTTTGTCAGCGCAATTCCGAGTTCTTCCGCGTACCGGTAATGGCAGCTGTGCTATCATAATTTCGACTCGTTCGGGACGGTCGCCATCGTCAAGAGTAATTCCCCCAAATCAAATTTCCAAACTCGCAAAACAAAACGGATTCGCTCGAAAATTATCACAAAGCCAAAATTCTTACTTTGCAAAATTTATTTTGGCGGTCCAGCGTGGCTAAAGTTTGGCAAAAGTGAGCGACGGTGATGCGAATGTGTTCACAGAACAGCAGCTGCATCGAGAGACCCTTCCTTCCCCCATTTGCCGTGTTGTCAGTCAGCGGCAGCGAAACCCCCCTGAGGAGCCACCAGTTAGCTCGACGCGGGTACAGTGCGCGGCATAAACGGGAAACGCGAACACTTGTTGACTGGCAAGCTCAGAGCTTGAAAAAAAATGAATACTATAAGTAAGCAACAGAATGTTCTGGAATGGAAAATTCGGAAAAATTCCGGAAAAATATTAATTTTTTATTAATCCTTTCCTCAAATTTATCAAAATGTTATGTGAAATTGAGTTATGATTTTAAATGTTTACGAGGTTTTTATAAAATTTTACTGAAACTGGCTTTTAAGAATGGAATACATAACAAAATTATGAATTTTATTAATTTTTTTAGTTAACATTTTGGCTAATATTCCATTTTTTAAAGCCGAGTTTTTCTCGCACAGTTGCAGTAAAACCACTTAAAATCCCCTTAAAAATGAAACTGCTTTACACTTTTCTACACCAAATTGAACAGAAAAACACAATTTGAAGAAATAATTATAAATTCCAATGAAATTTTGGCTTTCGGAAAGGAAAAATTACCAAATTTTAACATGAAAAGTCTAAAACACAATTTTTTTAAACATTTTGGATTCCGCAAGCAGATCTAGCGCTTATTTTGAATCCTCGTTTTTATTTGAAAATGATTTTTAAATTAATTGTAGATGTTAATTTTTAGTTTAAAATTAATATTTGATATACGCCTTTTATGTTCAATCATAAAAGTGAAAAAAAAAACGGATTTTATTACATTTAAATCTCCATTTTCTTTATCAACTTCAAGCAATCTCCAAGGACCACGGACATATATAATCAATTCCGATCTTGGCGGCAATTTTTACCTGCTACCGAAATCAATAAAAAAGAGACCGCGTGGCGCTTCATTTCATGAAAATCAGATAAAGCATGAAAGTCTCTCAATTAATGATTTGGGTTCGACATGCCAATTATCCGGGGCCGTGGTGACAGCAAAAGAATCTTGTACTTTGACGTTGACGACTTGAGACCATTCATTATAGGTAGTGGTGCCTAATTTTCTTAAAATGCACCCTCGGCAGGCAACGAAAGGAAAAGGTCGGCGGGCAGACGCGCGCTCGGGTCACGTGTTGAACGGCAGCGAACCCTTCCTTATCCCTTTTTTAATTGCCAGCTAAAATCAGGTATAAAAATCGCTTCGGACGGTGAAAATGTATGTAGGTGGCAAAGATTGTTATTAAGAAGAGAGAGAGCGATGAATCAAAGGAAGAGGATGGAAAATCGGCCCTAATTACAGCTCCGCGGTCTTTGAATTTATTGAAATTGATGCGTGCTGCAGGAGAGATGCAGCTTCCTATCTCTCTCTTGGCGCGCGCGACAATCTCCTTTTTCACATTTTATTCGACGCGCCTGATGCATGGATGGAGAAAGTAATGCAATTCAATATCGTGGGATTCGCTTCGGTCGCACTGAAATCGCGATTTCATACGTCGTCGATGTCTAATTGTCAAGTTGAATTATCATCAATATGCGAAAGTGGTGCAATATTTATCGAAAAATTGAAATAAAATTATAAATCTTTAATTTATTTCATAATTTATATCCATTTAAACAAATTTTTGTAATTAAAATTCATGTTTAAGCAATTTATAAAAGGCGCAGGAAGATATTTATTCCAATAAAATTGAATAACTTCGATTTCTTCCAAAATTTATATTCATTTTTTTTTAATTAAATATATAAATTAATACATATAAAAATTTGTTCGATGAAGAAAATGAGCTTGCGAGAAGCCGCAACTTTTCAAAAGAGTTAAGAAGAAGAATATGTGAAATGCATCATTATTGTACTTATTTTATCTTAATGTTGTACACCTACGGTGTTTAATAAATACTTCATTCATTTTTAATTAAATTTCATTTTTTAAGCAAATTAAAAGGGCGCATTAAGATAATTTATAACGCATGTAAAGACATTTAAATGAATTTTGTTTGCCGTCGAAAACGTGCCGCAGAGTCGGGGGTGTCGCTCTCTGGTCGATTCTTCTCTCTCTCGGGTTTTATCTCGCCTTCTGAGCAAATATATAATTTTTTTCCTATGCATGTCTGTCCGCCGCGCATACCGCCGCTCTCGGCAAAGTGTTGATAAAAAGTGACTTTTTGAACTCGTCCCGTGGTGGGTCTGGCTGCAGCCACAGCATCTATTTATTTTGCCTCACGACACCTTCCCCGGGCGAACAATGCAACGTGCTGTGTCTCCTAAAGCCGGCTAATAAATAAAAAGCAACGCTTTTTGTCAACAACTCCCTCGTAAATGTACTACAAACTGTAATGAATGCCGCACACTGTCAAGTGAATCTCGAGAAAAACGACCACGCCGAAAGCACTTTTTCTGCTGCTTTTTATGTATTAATGCTCATCTGAGTCTGCTTTTTACAAAGTATAAAATTTCGAGTTTGGAATTTCATGTTTTTTCTCATTGGACTCTTTTTGAATATTGTCAATTTTTTAGTGTGAGAGAGTTTTTTTTTGTGATTTTTTTGATGTTAATTGTAAGTTGTGTCATGTTTTGTTAAAAGTTTATTCCAGTTTCCGTTTTAATTTTTCAAAAGAAATTTTAACTTGCATTCAGAAAATAAAAAACCAATGCTAGGAAAAAAAATGAAAATGTCCAAATTTCAGCTTTTAATTCTTTTCAAAACAGATCCTGATTTCTGTTTCCAAAGAAAAAAATAATCCATTTTACACTCAAAAATTCAATATTAATCATAGCCTGTATTTTAGGCAGCTATAAATATCAACCCCATCCCCCGAGAAATATAGCGGCGCGATCTCTCACTTTTCCTTTCGTGATAAAAGGCAAAGGTCGATTATTATATTCCCCTGAACCCTCAGGTGGCCGAAATCTCTCGCTGCTCATGCTTTTTATGGTAGGTCGTTCTTTTTTGGATGATGCTGAGAAAAGGGCAGGTGGTCGGTAAGCCGCTGCCAAGATGGCTCTCGGCAGCCTGCCCGCCAGACGAGCGAGGCTGTTTTTGTAGAAACAGATTTGAAAGCTGCTCTTGAATAGCTCCTCATGCGCGATTGCAGCTTCTGGGGTGACCCCTCGGCGCGGATCCTTCTTATTAAATCTTTTGTGCACACTCTTGGTGAGGCCAGGTGATTTTGAAACATACTGCCTCGAACCTACCGGTCGCGTCGTTTATTTTATTACCCGTGGCGCGGCACAATTGGAGATTGAGGAGGAGGAAAAGATCGCGAGTTTTCTAGTTTGGAAAACTGGTTCAATTCGGGGGTAAATATGAAATGAATTTTTTAAGTTGCGGAAAATTATTGAATTGTAAATTGAATTAATTTTGAAAGTTGGTTATTCAAAATTTCAAACAATAATTAAAATTTAACTATTGATCTATTAATATTTATTTTATAATTTATCAGAAATTTTATAATTCTTGATAATTTAAATTGCAATTTGTGCACTTTTAAAACTATTTTTATTTGTCACAGATTTTTTTTTTAATATTTCAATTGGAGTTCAACACACTATCAGCTTGAATTTTTCCTTATTTTCCTCAATACCAATTTTCATTCTTTTATAAATATCTCTTCACTGCGAGGATCATTTTCGATATGCCTTTCGCCGACCGCAATTTTTGCGGCGCGGAAATTGCGTCCATTAGTGGTAATGCGCGCCTTTGATCGTCGGACGCGGCCGCGTCCCTCCTCGGCGTTGATTGTGTCAATCCGCGAAGCACGCAGCTCCTCAAATTGCTAGCTCGGACGCCGCCGCCGCACATGCATGGTTGATTTTGAGATGCTCAATCGTCGTCACCACCGCCGAGATAATGAACTTTACAATGGTGCTAAAAAGTTTGCATGTTCCGTCCATGTACCGTAACTGCCGTGTGTGCCTTGGAGGAAAATTGAGAGAGTAAGAACGAGAATCGCCTCATGAGGTGCCATTAAAGCTTTTGGTCTTTTTCGTGCGGGTTGTGCAAAACTAAAAAAATACGCGATTATCTTTGCTCTTGACTTTCGTTTGGTCAAGAGTTGCCAGGTGTTGATTTAACGGATTTTTTCGGTGTGATTTTTCATCAATTCAGTAAATTAATTAAAATGTTAAAATTTATGCTTAATTTAAATAGAGTGAATTTATTTTATTAAATAGATTTTTTTTCTTAGAAGTTTTTCAAAAGAGAAAAATATGCTATTAAAGTAATTGCCGCTTTTTTAATTTCTTAAGAGTCAATAAATTTTTAACTTCTTGAACCGTTGTATTTTTATGCCGTTCAATGCAGGGAAAATTGCAAATTTAATGACAGTTTATAGAACTTCCCTGATTCTTACATGGGCATCCGAATTCATCGCGATGCACGAAAACTATGAATGGAAGAAGAAGTGTGAGAAAGTCGTTAAAGAGCGGATACATTTCTGTTTTTGTTTTGTTTTGGTCGGAAATAAGTCATGCGCCTCTCTCGTTATGAAGGCGAATTCAATCTCAAAGGCCCGCTTCCCAACAATGGTGAGAACCGAAATGACGTCACCGGCAGGTGCGCGTTCTCGGTGCCCATCATTGTTGGCAACGGGGAGGAAGTGATGTTTTTCCATAATGTCGACCGCTTCCTGCGAAAATTTCCACTTTTTCGCAAAAACCTGTCCTCGCATTATTTCGAAATATGTAGGACGCGCGAGGGGCAGCATATAAAATTTTTTCAGCGGCGCCTGGTCAACTTCGCGAGAGTGGGTTTTGCATTCCCACGGAGATATGAATACCAATATGGGCGGCCTCGGGCGGCTCGTCGTCCAGCATCTTAAGCAGTGATACGAATAAAAAGTCGAACAGCCTTTCGTTAAATTATTGATAATTTCCAATGCAGAGCGAGAGGAAAAAACGTTTCGTTGGTGCAACGCCGGTTGGCATGCAACGCTCGCCACAAGCAAGGCCAATTGGAATTGGGCATTTCGCGATTTCGGTCCATTTACATTTTATATTATGCCGCGTTCGGTGCCCAGGGGTCAAAATCGTCTAGCATTTCTAAGGAATCGGAGGCAACTTTTGGTTATAAAAAAAACGGGAGCTGTTTTGCGTGTTTTATGATATCCTTCGCTTCTGGAATTTCGCACACAAAATTAATTCATAGTCGGTTTTATTTCGTTATAAAAAAGTAAAAGTTTATTTAAGTTTTGATATAATAAATTAAAAATAGGGATTATTATTATTATTGTGAATTTGTCCAAATTGTTACTATTATTTTTTTATATCATATATGGTTTACATTCAATTGTTAAAACAATTTATTTGGGAAAATAAGGCAATAAAATGAATAAATAAATAAAATTGTTATTTTAAAATAGTTCATTTTTATTGTTATTATTGGCCCACATTGTTACATCGCATTGTTTTCATTCAAATATTGAAAACAATCTATTTGAAAAGAAAGATTGTTAGAAAAACAATTGATAAATTAATTCTGCTGAAATATTATAATTTTTGCTACAAATTTATTCATTCCTATAACATAATTTTTAATAGTTTTTGTTATGAAAATAAAATAAAACAAGTTGAATCTAATTCCAAACAGTCTAAATAACACTTACACCAAAATTTGTCACATCCGCCCCCGTTTCGTGCAACCCCTCTCGGCAAAATCAACCCACCCCGCCGACTGGAACCCTCTCGCTCGCTTTAAAAACAGACACTCGTCTGTCTCGCTCGAAGGTAATTTCAATGACCGTTACTCCCTGTTCGCGATCAACCCCGTCGCCAGTTATCTCGAGCGAGCCGTCCACGCGCGACGACCCCGCGTTCGAAACGCGACGCTCGTGTGTGTGTTGAGTCCCCCCTTCGACCCCCATGCCATTCAACACCGTGCATGGGGGGAATAATGGAGTATGGAGAGCGGAAACCCCGTCCAGTACACATATATCAATTGCATCCGGTCCAGCTCTCGAGATGCAGAAATCGAACGAATTAATTCACTCAAATCCATCTCCGGCTTAATTGACATCCGTCTGCGCCTCGGTGATAGCACGGATTCGTTTTTTCCCAAGCCGATATAAAATTATCGGTTGACGCCTCCGCAATTTTTATTTCTCCGTCGCCAGTTGAATGAATTTATTTATTGTTTTATGCTCGATCGCCCTGCAAGCGCGAGAAAAGTGAAAAGCAACATGGCGCTTTCAATTTATGCGAAGACGCTGAAAATTATTACGTGCTTGCTTGAAATATATCACGCCAACATTTTATATTGAATGTAAAATTAGCAAGGCTATTGTGTGCATGAAAAAGACTAAAGAGATGCAGTCCGGCGAGGAATTTTACTACACATTTTGCAAGAACGGGTTTGCCAGGGATGCAATTAAATAAATTACAAGAACGTCTGCCGCAAAATAATCGGCAATGTTTGGAGCGAAAATAATTTCACGTACGTCCGATTAATTCGTAATTAGACTCTGTTTAATAAAACTGGAAGAATTATACAAAATTTCTTGCAGAAATATTATTCTTTTTAGTGTCATAATATTTTTCAATTATTTCTGCCATTTCTCAATTGGAAAATTACACGTCTGAGCGGCCATCTGGCTGCAAATTAGTCCAATCAAGAGAGGTCTTAACTCTCACTTGTGTATTAAATTTATTAAGTAACAAACCCATCACCACCTCCGCCTCTCTCCGCGTGCAGCACAATGTGTGCGTTGCGCCTTATCAATATCAAGATTATTCTCTCTTACCGCCTTAATTAAAAAGCAATTTAGATCGCGCGGTGCTGCAAAACCGCCCCGATCGTCTTTTACACGGCAAACAATAGTTCCGGCTAATTACGTTTCGCCAACAGCAATTAATAATAACGACGCGCATGCACATGTGGATAAAAAGCATCAAGTTTAATTATATTCGCGCTCTCGCGGCGCATTATTAATTGAGGTCGGGTGATTTTGCGCCGCGTTGAATTATTGGGCTTATTTATCAAATCGGCCTCTTTTGTTTCAGCCGTGTCCTCTTGTTCTCCAAACCCCTGCAAGAATAATGGAGCCTGCGTTTCCAGTTTCCGCGGCGAGCCCTACTGCAAGTGAGTACCAACATTTTTGTTCAAAATTGTATTTAAAATCGTGCATTCAAATCTCTGATTCATAATTTACAAAATTACATTCTCAGGTAATTATTTTAAATTGGTTTATTTAGTTTCAAATTATTTATTAATGTATTATTAAATTCAATATTATGAATATGAATTTAATTTTCAAATGAATTATAATTCCGAAAGTCACTCTGGAGAAAAATCAATTTGCCTCCCGCCTGCGGAAATAATTTGACAGGCACGCAGTAATTTTAATTTGGTGTCAAAATATAATTTTCCCTGGCGAATCTCGGTGGAATTTACCACATTTATTGCGCCTTCCACTGTAATTTCTTTTTATCCATCACCTGCGCCGCCAGAATATGTGACCCGGAAACTTGACAGTTAGCGAAATAAAATAATGTATGGCTGCTGCATAATCGTCGGCATCCTTCGCTGCTAAACTAGAATTCAGCGAAAACGTGTGAGAAACGGGAAAGAGAGATGAAACATAAGAAGTTGCTGCTGCTGCAAGAGACTTGGCACAGAAAGAGACGCTCTTTATACTCCACTTGAGCACGAGAGAGAGATAAATAAAATAAGAAGAAAAGCAGCAGTTCATAATAGGTGGTCCACATGCAGAAAACGCGACTTCATGCTGATTAATTAGAGAAACCGTTTTTCTGCTCGGACGAGATTTATATACAAAATAAATAAATAAAAAGCAAAGTTCACGTCCCCGCACATTCAGAATTCCGTTAAATTTCTTTTTAATAATGTAAATGAAGGGATCAGGCTTTTCCTCGTTGCAAAAATTGTTTTTTTACACAAAAAAATTTTTTTTATTCAAATACAAAAAAACTTTACCAGTTTCGGTCAAGGTCTGCGACCCTATTTCATTAGCAAGAAAGATAACAAAAAAATAATCAAAATTGAAGGGGGGAAAAACACCACATTTTATAGAATGAAAATTAAAATGTGTCTGTGTGTGTTTTTTAAATTTGGTTGATATTTGGATTTTTCTTGCTCATAAAATAGAATCGCAGATCGTGACCGAAACTGGTAAAGATTTTTTGTTTTTTGATTAAAACAATTTTTCATTGAGGAAAAGCCCAATTTCTTCATTTTCATGATCATCTCCTCGAGTGTGCATTTCTTAAAGCAAATTTAATTTTTGTATTAAATTTTTTAAGCTTCTCGGTTGGTTAATTTCGAAAAGGTCTTGTTTTAATTTTTCGGACCGCATCCTTTGTGGCCGTCATGCATACCTGATCCGATTAATCCTCCTGAATGAGTTCGTCCCCCTGTGTAAAATTATCATGCTTATATAAATTATATTTTATAAGCCTCGGGAGCTGGAAAATTTATTAACAGCACCTCAAGCTTACATTCTCACTCACCTCGAGTGCTGCTCTCGAGTAATGAGAGAGCAAGTGGAATGATATGCAAAGCAAGGAGCGAAATAATATACAATCCAGCCGTGATGTGGTCGACGAGCTTTTCTTTATATTTTTTGCTTTATCAGCGACGTGAAACCTGAAGTCTCTCGGCCGGGATCAAGTTTGTTAATATTTTTTGCGTATGCGCTGCGGAGGAAAGAAGAAGAAGAAGATAAAACATGGCACATACACAAGTCAATAATTATACAAAGAAGCAGACGCGAATGCAATTTGTATGCAGCTTTCCTCCGCGCGACTTGTTTGCAATTAGAAAACGAGAGTCAGATGCCAAAATGTCGCGCGCGAATCGACACGAAAATTGATGACTTTGCCGCTGCGAGCGAACAATTTGCTGCAGGACAACATGTGACACCATAGCAAACCGGCCTTATATGGACAATTTACATCAAGGCGACGAATAATTTATACACAAACTTAATAATAAGTACAAGAAATGTTTTTGCTAAGCTGCTTGCCAAGAAAAATTCCTTCCAATTCAATGTTAATTATTATGGTAGTCCTTGTAATAAATTTAACTTTGCCACACGTGCCTATTTTACTTCCAGGAAAGTTGACCGCGCCAAAAGCAATAATTACAGCCCTTTTCGACTTATTACATTTTGATGATTCACCCGAACCTCCTTCTTAATTTACATTCCTGAGAGGAGGAACCTTTTCAAACCAGCGCAGCAGGTCCGATTTTAATATAAAACTCGGCGTTGTTTGCTCGCTGCGATGGATATAAAAGATACACTTGATTCGACGTGTATCGAACGGAGAAAATAATAAAGTACATAGAGAGAGAACATCAAGTGCGCCGCTACACTTGCAGCGGCTCTTATTTATATATTCGAAAAGTGAAAAGCCGCGGCCAGGCGAATTCTAATTAAAGCCCATTGTGATGCGAGATTTGATACACATCGCGGCGAGGGCTGGAAATCTGGATCAAGTGTTATTTGCTTGCTCGTTTGAATGGGAAATTTATTGCCGACTGGCTCTTTTTTTAGGAATACGCCACATCTGTTGTGGCTTTGTTGTGAGGTATCGCATCCTCCTCTCTTTCTTTCTCTTGATGATAATAAATAAAAAGCGGCAATTGCGCATATGAGCAACAGACGATAATTTTTCTCTCCTTTGGCAACTCATGTAAAAAAACGTCCCCCGTCGGATGTCACGTCATTATCGGGATCATTGTCGCGTTCGCACATTGCGGTCAACCCTCCTTTGTGTATCACGATCGCACCCCTTTTATTTTGTATACGCGTGCATTTACATACAATGGACCGCCGCGCTCTTTTTTCAGGCGTCCCATGTGATTTGGCGCATACTCGTCCGTATGCTCGAATTTTCGAGCTAATTAAATTAAAGTGAGCGAGCCACTTTTTGGCTTCTGTTTTTTTAATGATCCTTTTGAACTGGCGGACATTTTCCCATGGACTTTAAAAGGATTGAGTTTTAAAAATTAATAATTAATCACCCATAAATTCTCAACTTTTTTAATTACATACAAAAAATTCCGATATAATTTATAAACCATTTATTACATAAACTTTATTTATTCATAAAATTACCACTTATTAATAATAAGTTATTTTATTATTATATAAACATGTGGGCCATCCAAGAAAATATTATCAATAAAATTGATGAAAAAAATTGAAATGCATTAGTGTCTTTTTTGTTACTTTAAATTTTTATTTAAATTCAACGCTCCGTTTAATTACACCAAGTTGATGCGTTCAAGCCATTTAACCGTAAGCCATAAAGTCTCAATTTTTTGCTTCAACAAGTGCCTGCTGCCCCTTTTTAGAGACAACATAAATCCCTCCCTGCGCTCATTACAAGTGAGAAGTGAAATGAAAATCTGTGCGCGGAGCAACTCGGTCCGAAAATCTTTCCCACACACTCGACACATCTGTGCAGTGCACCACACCACACTGCCGCCGCCCGGTGCATCTGTTACATATTTCTCTCGGTCGCGCATTAATTCACTATCATCGTCCACATCATCATCCCTTTCTCATATCTTTTTTACTAACAGCGCACGCACGATTAACCCCTTTTGTGCACTTAGCGCACTTATTGTTCTATTCAATCACGCCCCCTATTGTACGCACACCGATCGTCGATCAATTTTTGATAACTCAATCATTCCGCGGAACGTTGATTAATAATTTATTTAATTTTTATTGCGCCAATAAAGCGCTTCGTGAATATTTTCGGTGTTTGATGAGCTCGAGAGCCGTGCAGGTAAAAAAACCGAACCCGCTCGGCAGCATTTACGAGGTTATGCCCTCTGAATAAGGAATGCTTTTTATTTCCTCAATGCCCAACTGTATTTTTACTGCCCGGCAAAAAAAACTCCTCCAGAGATGACCTCGCCTGTGAACCCGCAGAGAGCAAATAATTCGAAATTTCCATTTCCCATGCTGGCTCTTTTTCAAATCAGGTGCATCGCTGAAAGGAATGCGATCTGTTTTCTTGCGAGGAGAGAAGCTCAGCGAGGCTGAAAACGTCTATTTGTTGTCCACTGCAAACAGACCTCCTGGGTGGGCGGGAAAACTTCTTCTTCTTCATTCTGAAGACGAGCAGATTATTTACTAACTCAGTCAGGAGGACACCTTGTGCTAATGCAATCATTGTATGGCTGAAGACTCGCGGGACTTTTTTCGAAAAGTAGCCAAAACATTTCCCACGCCTTTCCCATCCATCTGGCTCGTACAATGGTCGGTCGGGGAATTTCATCACGATCGTGATCGCCGCCGAATTCACTTTCCTCCATACGCAGATTATTGCGGTAGGAGAAGCGGAAGGGTTTGTAACGCGGCGATTCCCAGCAGACAATCATTGTCAAAAGTCTTTTGGGACTCTCGTGAAAGGGCGCGTGCCTCGCGCGAATCATGAGAAAATTTGGGCCCTTCCCTTCGGAACAGCCACAGATGCGCGCAGCACAGATTCCGAACAATCGATTGTGCGCTCCGATTATTAATTGCCGCTCAACCGATTATGACACATGTTTTGTTGTGAGAAATGTCTCACACGCACATCGCCTCATTAACATTTGTTTCCTTTTAATGAGCACAGTATGGGCCTTATCCACATTTGAAATTGAAAGTCTCTGCAGCATCTGATTGCAATTATTATTATTACTGTATGAAGCTTTTAATAAAAGTGAGTGAGTGCGCGATCAAGCGACTCAAATTTCTCAATCGCGCGTGACTCCGGCCGATAATTCACGTTTTGTGCAGGGCGCGAAATGTTTTGTTGAATGTAACTTTCAATTGCATTCAAAATTAGTCGGTTCAATTCGGAAAGTGCGAAGGCATGAAAATGAAAGCTTTTGCCTCTCCCAGCAAATTTAATATTTATTATTGATTATTATTATTGACTTGAAAATGGCTCATTATTATTATTAGTTAAAAATTTTATTTATAGTAATTTAGAATATTATTATTATTACTAAATAATAATAATTTAATATTTAATCACTTAAATTCAGAAAGTGTAAAGGCATGAAAATGAAAGCTTTTCCTCTCCCATGCAGAAAAATACTACTGCTGATTTATTTCTTAA